TATTAGAAGCAAAAGCTTGCAAAAAAGTTAGCCAAATACTTGAGAAATTCGAAACAGTGATCATTTCGGGTCAAAAAATTCAATGTTTCGGCCTAAAATTAACTTTTTGATTAAAGTCGAGAATGTTTTGATGCGGATAATAGTTAAATACGCCTGCGCTATTTGTAAAACTTTATATCTAGGCGTGCGCGGAATACTCAGGCCAATTTTACCTCTCTTTCGAGGGACTGTAGATGAACGGGGCCCAGACTGTTCGTCCTCATCATCTCCCGTAGCTGAACACAAACATCAATACGACTCTCACAGATTTTCTCACCGAGTCAAATACTTTGTTGCCGGCTTTTTCGACGCGCTCCAAATGGTCCTTGAGCTTGAGGCGCGACACATCGATGTGCAGCAACAGCGCGGCCTCTGTCTGTAAAAGGTTTGTACGAATTGGATACGAAGCCTCAAAAAAACTGGGGAGTCTGCTTCGGTGAGGGCTCAAATTGCAAAAGCTGCCGACCTGCTTCCTTTGAGCTTCTGTCTCCGCACGCATTCGGGCAGCCTGACGTTTACCCTCGCGGATCGCCTCCTTGCAGTTCTGAAGCATAGACATAAACATAGGAATGGGAAGCCACGATTAGCTAGGCCAGTTTCGGTTCTGGACTGTTAACGTGGGGGCGGGGGCAAAAAGTATGGAATCGAATTTTTGGCCAAAAAGGGTTCTTTAGGATTCGCGGGGGAAGACCCAAAATGACCGAATTTCCGACTTTTTGAAACATTTTTCAAAATTTTTCTGAAAATTATTTTGCTTTAAATATAGTTAAAACTTACTAAAAACAATTCGAAAACACTTAATATTTGATTACTAGGTCAACCGGGACAACCAGGAAAAAATTTGGTTTCCCGCCCCCCGGAATCCTAAAGAACCCCAAAAAATATCGAAAATGCCATAAAAAATCAAAAATGTCCGAATTTGAAAAATTTAGAAAACTATTTTTTTGTAACTTTCTAGCGATTAAAAAATACTTGAAACCTTTTAGAAAGACATAATTTATCATCAATAGCTCGACAAACAGAAATTAGTTTCCCCCTTGCCAAAACTCCTCCTCCGCTAACAGTCCAGTACCGATTTTTCTTATGCGGAAATGATTTGCGGATGAGTCGCGTTCTACTTGCCTGCAGACCAGCAATACGAGCCTCGTGGGCCGCGGCAAAATCAGCTCCTGCTTCGCCTCGTGGCGTCGTCGCAGGCGGTTCAACCCTCACAGCTTCCGGATCTTCGCGGCCGTCGTCTGCCGTCAAATCAGCGGTCGATTTGAAGGAAAATGATTGCTAAAAGAATGGACTTTCTCAAAATACGATCAAATCAGGTAACCTTCAACAACATCCAAAGTCCCCGCAGCGGCGCCAAATGCCGACCAGAAACGCCTTCAAGAGTCCTAAAAATATCAGATTCAGAGATAGAAAGGTAAAAATTAGAGGGAGATAAAGAAAGATGTTTTACCGGGAGGCCTTGCATGCATTGACGGGTGCTCGCCGCCCTCAAGGTCATCTGAAACATTACAAGATGTCCGATTATTGGCCATGCAACAAACCTCGGTCACCGTGGCCCCGCTCACGATTTGCACGGGCCCGTCGATCGGCAATCTGGCGATGGACCTTAAAAAGCTGTTTTTGGCGAGGCCAGATTATTGTTATTACCTTCCCTTGGGCCACGTGGCATCGCTGACTCTCGGTCAACAGGAGTTCATACAACCAGGAGCTCTGAAAAACATGACAGTCGATCTTCCGAAGCACACAGGCGGATGGAAGCAGAGAGAGGCAAAGAGACCAGAGCGCGTGCGATAGACAGAGGACAGAACGAGGTAAGGAGACAGAGAAAAGAGCGCGCGAGAGAGAGAGAAATAGAGAGAGACAGATAGGGAGATAGAAAGATATCGAGTGAGTGAGAGAGATAGCGAGTGGCAGTAAGAGTGAGGGAGATAAATAGAGCGAGATAAAGAGAGAGAGAGAGAGAGAGACAGAGAGACAGAGATGGAGTGAGAAAGAGAAAGAAACTCTGTTTTCAAACCCAACCTCAAAAAATTTTGCAAAACTAAAATTAATTCCCACGTAAAAGATGAAGCTGAAGCACGCGCTTCGCTGTCGGTTGAGGGCGCCCCCGAGGTCGTGGATCGATTGCCGGGCCGTATCCGCTGCCTTGGACGCCGCGCTCTGGTAGGGCATCTACAGTGTGTGCCATAATGATAGGGGAATGAAGTTTTTGGCCGTTTTCTCCGCGGTCTTGCATGTACCCGTACAAACCGGATAGTAGGTTTTGTGGTCCGGAAAAATGCGCATCTTTTGGTCTACTTGAAATGCTTTTACGATGCAGGATCACGTTTTTATACGCAATTGTATAAAAATAGGCGAAAAACACAAGTGACAAAATGATAGGGGAATCATTAACATATCATTTCCATCAACTTTCTGTATGAATAGTGGATGCAAATTAGATGCAAATTTTAGCTGGCTGTTTGCGGTTGGCGTTTCGGTCAGAAAATGCTATCTTTGCATCGTTCTCTCCTAAGAATTTTCAATTAAAATCGCTTAGCATCCACTATTCATACAGAAAGTTGATGGAAATGATATGTTAATGATTCCCCTATCATTTGTCACTTGTGCTTTTCGCCTATTTTTATACAATTGCGTATAAAAACGTGATCCTGCATCGTAAAAGCATTTCAAGGAGACCAAAAGATGCGCATTTTTCCGGACCACAAAACCTACTATCCGGTTTGTACGGTACATCACCGCGGAACGGCCAAAAACTTCATTCCCCTATCATTATGGCACACACTGTAGAATTGAGCGCTGATCTCATTTCAATATTCAAAGATTAGAATGCTAGCTTTGCATAAAGCGAACCTTGATCAAGAAGAAAAAACACCAGCCACAGCGCCCTGATGTGGAAATTTTTAGTTTCGCGATCAACCTGCCTCCTCCAGATTCAGGTTCAAACCTCCTTTTCAAATATTTTATGGTAATTTCCTGGCCAATGGCTCAATTTCAACATTCGTGTTGCTTTCTCGCCATTAGGCCCTCTCACTGTTAACTGTTCTCACATGTCCATTGCAGAACCACACATTTGCATCCATTTACGTAGATACTGAATTGGTATCCGGGCTGACGGAAGGACTGGGGTGAAAAACTTATCGCGGTTGTGCCTATAGCATATAAGAAGGTGGCAAATGCTACAAATTGGAACGGAACAAGACGACACTCCCTTCCGTCGCGAGTCATCCCCACGCTATCTAACCCTGCGTATACACTAGCTACAAGAAACTAGAGATGTTAAGAATCAATTAACAATCAAGGTTATTTGCATACAATGGCACAATATTATTTGATTTGGATGCGGCTGAGCGCATGGCCAAGTAAAATAATATTATTTGACTCCGCTCGAGAAAGAGCCAAGTAAGATTACTTGATTTACTTGATTTACTTGATCAAACAATAGCTTTCTGGAATTCTGGCAGTTTTCGGATGGTAAGGAACTTTATGACATGATCGCATGCTAATTTACTGGGTTCGCAGCACGATTGCCTGATTTGCATTGCGAATTTGCACAAAATCAAGTAATTTCGCTGAAAATCAAGTAATTCTCCCAAATCAATCAAGATCAAGTAAATCAAGTAATTTTATTTTGCTTGATGCTTATTCAAGCACACGGCGTAAAATAATTTTATAGTTACTTGAAAATTTCAGATGCAAATAAAGTTGTTCAAGTAAATTTACTTGGTCATTATATTACTTGATTCGTAACAACTCTACAAGAAACCTCTTGAGTTTCTGTGCTGTAAACATTGTTTTCAATATGGTTTTTGTGCATTTGCACAGCCTGTCCACTGTCCCTTGGTTTTCCAATGTGGTTTCCTAGCAAAAATTTGGTATCGGGATACAAAAGGACATCCTACAGGATTAACCGGGCAAACCTTCAATGCCATTTCTTCCCAGTTTTTCCTGTTTTATGCGCACACCGTGTAGCTCCTATCGATCTTTGAGGTATTTATCAGGTGCTGGCAAAAAAATGGCGCGAGGTTCCAAAATATCGCTTTGCGAAAATCGCAGCAGTTTGAACGCATTTTCTCCCATCTGGCAACTCAAAACGCATGCTGTTTCCCACGCTATAAAAAGCTTCGATGTAACCGGCATAACGAAGAAACTACAGGAAGCGGCTTTTCACCCCGGTTATTATCAAAGCGGGGGAAGGGAGTGAGAGTAACATATATGGCATTGGCTTGTTTTGCTTGAGCCAGGTGCCAGGGCGCAGGTGCCAATCAGCAAAGGCGCTGTAGAGAGCACCTACAAATATAGATAAAAAACAGGGTAAGTGTTTTTGAAGCGAGCTTAACCTCAGCTCAGTGCGCGTTCTCTTTCTCTCTCTCTCTTTCTTTCTTGCTCTCTCCCTCTCTCGCGCTCTGTCTCCCTATCTCTCTCTCTTTCTCTGTCTCTCTCACTCTCAATCTCAAGGACTCTCTTTGCTGTGTTCTCTCGCCCTTTAACGGAATAAAATATTTATTTCACTCAAGAACATACAAAATATGGCAGAAGTGGTGGTCAGCTGTATCTTCAATCAGATGCTCGTCTCCAGGTAGAATGTTTTGGCGGATATACGTATTTTTCTGACGGCGGAATATGGATGGGGTGAGGGTGGGAAATAGTTTGCGAGATTTGGGAGGATTTGAGAATTTGATGAGGGGCTGCAGGAGAGGATTGGGGTCGATGTGAGAGGTGTTTTCGGGGGTATGGGATCGGATGGGATCGTAGTCGCCGGAAGATTGGTAAGGAATTGGGTACAGTAAGTGGGCTCTTGGTTACTGTATCTTGGCGTGGGGTTACGGTAACACGGCTCAGAATTACAGTCACTTAGCATTGCGTTACGGTAGCGTTGTTCAGAGGGAAAATTGCCTGGCTCAGCGTTACGGTAGCCTAGAGCTGGGCTACGATAGCTAGACGCGAAATGGGAAAGATCACACGGTGGCTCGTGGGTTGAGTAGTAGGAACTCGAAGCGATTTCTAAACAAAAAAAATAGTGCCATTAAAGGACCGTAGAAGGCGCGAAAGCTTTTTTGTAACTATGGACCTTGCCGCGCGTTTGGAAATACACCGCGTAATGGGTTCCGTGGCATGTTGCGGACGCGGTTAGGTCTACAGCCAAGCCTTGTTGGCCCCTTTAAAGGTATTGTGAAGGCAGAGAAAGTTAAGAAAAAATTTCGGGCTATTTCTGCCTTCAAAATACGTTGAAGAGAGAGATAACATTTATTTGAATTTTAGAGGCCTCTATTTTGATGGATTTACCGCACCGTCGTCCCCGGACTCACCCGGAATTCCATTGCGTAATGGATTACAACGCTTGCAAAAGCAGAAATTATGCGCGCGTTGCATGTCGCGGCACGGCGCGGCAAGGCTTCCAGGAGGTGCATGGACTGTTAGAGGGGGGTGGAAGGTTTTAGCAGGTGGAAACTAATTTTGCCAGATTCTATACGGTAAAATCAACCGATTAATTATTTTATAAAATGTTACACACTTTTTAGATATAGAACGCCAGGAATACTTATCAACATTTTGGAAAATTTTTACTTCTTTAGATTTTTTAACATTTTTAGAATGTTTTTTTGTAACTTCCTAGCAATCAAAAACTATGAAACCCATGATCAAATACAGTCTTGTTATTATAGACGGAAAGACAAAAACTAGTTCCCCACTGCTCAAAGTCCAGTCCAAGCCAACTCCAAGCTCCTTGCTAGGCCCTACGTGGTTCTACAGGGTTGTATGTTATACCAAAATGTTTGCCTCGGTCTGACGAATATTTTGGTATACTTTACAACCCTTTAGCACAACGGGGAGAAGAGATATAATAATTGAGAAGCTAGGAGTTACCTCACTGTCAAAGCACCACCACACATCAATGATGCAGGCCTACCTTGCACCCCGGCATACAATACACCTAGTGTATAGGTATGACGCCGCAGATGATCAACGTCAGGATGGCGGCGATTAGGAAGAGGGGCGCGATGACGAGGCACAGGAAGCACAGGATGCAGCTCCGGTTCGGCCACGTCGAGACGGGCGGGCACAGCGCGTTGCTCCGCCCCGCCGCATCTGCCTCCGGATCCGGATCCCCGCAACATGGGCAACACGCTAGCAGTGGATTCCTGGAAGCAAAAATGTTAGTAGTAAGTAAGTCGGTACGGCTTAGTAGGTAAGTTAAAGGGACTGGCAAGGCAGGACTGTGGATTTTCGCTATGGCGGATGATCGTATATTAAATTTTTATCAACACGCAACACGAACGCCCCGCTAGTGAAAAGGGTCTAACACATCACGCAATCAAATTAACGGTTTTTGAAGCATCACGTCGGAACGGAAGCTGGCCCATAGCGATAATCATAGTTTTTTGCTATGGATTACCTAGGAACTTGGCAGGCCTCGCGACGCGCAGCGCGTCGCTTTGCGTATGTCTTTGCTCCAAAATAATTCCGCAATGGAATGGCGTGCGCGCGCGTTGTCGCGGCGCGGCAACCATATCAACCATTTTTTCAGGTGAAAGCAACAACGCGTAAGCCGGACGGCCTCAACGCAACGCCGTCCGCGACGCAATGTTTAGAGGTGCGCGTTGCGTGTAGCGGCACGAAAAGCTCCATAGGGAAACTATCGTCAAAAATCGAAAGTCGAGTCTTGCCGCCGTCTTTAAAGGTACCGGCAAGGCAGTACTATGGATTTTGCTAGTCTTTTCTAGGAGATTTGCCGCAGCCGCGACACGCAACGCGATAGCGATTCCACAAATTTCCGGGGAGGGCGTGTTGCGTGCTGCAGTACGAAAATTCATAGGCAATCCTTACCAACGACCCAAGTCAAGCCTTGCCCGTCCCTTTAAAGGGGTTGTGAAGGCAGTATTTAGGTTGTTTTTGCCTTCACAATCCCTCTAATGCGGATTAATCACACAACGTAAAATTCTAATGTTAATTTTCAGCCGGTCCTCCACCGCCACCTGTTAGTCGCACCATTTTCCGGCTACGGTAGTTAGGGCAATTTTTAGGCTGTTAATGTTTGTTAGTTTTTCGGAAAACATACATCACTAGACCCGTATATGGAGTTAATAGGAAAATTAGCTATAAGTCTGACGATATTGGTATTTTCAACGAAAAATCAAGAAATTCGATTTCCACTAGTTTTGTTGCATGCACTACTCAAAGTTGAACAAAATATATGTGAGCAGGGCGATTAGGGCGCATGCTACGGTAATCGGGACGCAGACCGTCAGGAAAAACTTCATTTTCCAGTGGGGATACTCGGGCCCGAAGTAGGAGGTACGGTTTCGGATTCTAAAAGATGCTGATTTTGCGGGAGGGGCTAGCAGAGAACCTTGTGGAATGACCGTTATTGTCCTAATCTTATTACTATTCGACCTAAGAGGATGAGCGACGTAGCAAGATCTTTTTTTGTCTTAATTTATTTACGTGTTTGACACATTCTAGTGCTCTCTTTCTCCCTCTCTCTCTCGCTCTCTCTCTCTCTGGGTCTCCCTTTCCCTCTCCCTTTCTCTCGTTCTTCCGCTCTCAGATTCTCTAGCTGTGAGCTCTCGCACTCTCTATCTATCCCTCCCTCAATCCCGATCTGTCGCTCTTTCTCATGCTCTCCCCTTTCGCTCTCCCTTACTCATTCCCAATCTCTTGTTTATTTTTATCCATATCTCCTTATGTCTCGCTTACACTCACTCTCTCTCTCTCCCTCTCTCTTACCGTTTCTCCATCTCTTTCCTCCTCCTCGTGTTCGGATCATCGTGCTGCCCTTCAAGCAAAGGGTTTCTCAATGGGTCTGAAATGAAGGGCAGTCAGCCAGTGTTTTTCAGGAACACGGAAACGTTATACAACATAAGGTATCAAGCTTGGGATAGCAAAAAAATACAAAGAAAATTACCGTGTTTCGGGGTGCTCGGGTAGACGCGGTCGCCTGAAAAAAAATGAAAATTTGACGGGATTTCCGAGGCTTTAAAGGGACTGACAAAGGACTAGTATGGATTTCCCATCGGTTCGGCCACGACGCGACACGCAACGCGTTATGCGCCTTCCGTTACGCAATAAATTTCGATCTTGAGTTGCTTATCGCGCGTGCAGTTGAATTCTTGTGGAATTTAAAGCGTTAGGAATCCATGGCGGTGCCCTCTCGCGCCCTTTAAAAGTTCGTAAACTTTCGAGAAAAATGCGTCAAAATAGGTATCAAATAATTACTCGGACTCCTCGGATCGTTATCATACTGGACATTTGGGGGTGGCGGTTGGATGGGGCTAGGTCGATGGCCCTGGTGCTCCACACGTGTTTGTGTGACCGTCGTGTCAGTCTGAAATTCATAGAAATTCTGACAACTGCAGTAGGGCATTTCATAGGTTCACTGGTGCTTTAAAAGACGCTATGTTGCCTAACCGATGATAGAACTTACGATAACCCGCCCATGTCTATCCTGTCCCTCATCACTCCAATCGTCCGTCTCCTCCTCCTCGGCCAGATGCCTTGGGGGTGGTTCGTAACCGGGTCTCTGGGTGGGGTCTGGATACCGTTCATGGTAGGCCGGGATTTCGGGGCCCCATCGTTGCACCTGGAATTTTAATGATCGGATTCTGGTTTGTTAGCAGGGGAGGCCACGCGCACTCGCCTATTTTCCCGATCGACCTAGTAGAAGTCTATTGCCTGTCACCTTTCCGTCCTGATAATGAAGCAGAACCACCGTATGATGTTCGATCGTTCGAATGTCGGGTTAAGTGAGAGCGAGAGAGATAAAGAGAGAGAGAGCGAGAGAAAGAGAGTGGGAGAGAGAGAGAGCACGAGATATAGTGAAAGACACCGCGCGAACGACCGAGACACCTGCAGATCCTGGTGAAGGCCATAAATTGAGAGAAAGCGAGAGATAGAGCTAGAGAAAGAGCTAGAGAGAGAGCGAGAGAGAGAATATGATGACAGCTAGAGACAGAATGCAGAGTGAGAGAGATTCACCGAACGAGAAATCGGCTTATTATTTTTTAATTCGGTGCTCATTCTTATTCGGACCTATATTGAGAACGAGCCTGATTCTATGCCCCATTCCTCCTATGTGCCCTATGTCTCATGCTCACCTGATCCGTGGTGGTCGTCGTCTGTTTCTGCCCCAATCCAATCCGATACGTCACTGGCGAACCACTGTCTCGGATCTCTAAAAATCTCGGCTACCATTTGTGTCACAGGTTCCTTTAATTCAACTACCAAGCAAAAGCTATCGATTATAAGGCTAACTCACGCTCCGGGATCATGACCGTATTCCTGCCGTGCTGGTCGGTGCGTGTCGTACTGGTGACGGTAGTTTGTTGCTGGTGCTGGGATGAGATTTGCTGTTGCGACCCGGTCCAATGTTGCTGCTGATTCCGGTCAGGTGTCGGGGGATGGGACCCATTTCTGGGCATTGGCACCGGTCGTGGCACCGAAGGGGCCATACGCTCCAGGTAGCTGTCACGCTGAACGTCTTGGGCCGTCTGAAGTTTGCGGTGTGGTGAAGCGGAACCAAAAAACAAGAGAGAGTGAGAGAGAGAGAGAGAGAGAGAGAGAGAGAGAGAGTTAGAGTGAGTGGGTAATAGCTAGAGAAGGAGATAGAAAAACAGAAAGAGTTATAGAGAGCGAAAGCGATATAAAGAGAAAGCAAGTGAGAGCGAGAGAGTGAGAGAACGCGATCGAGCGCGGGAAATAGAGAAACCCAGCCGTCAATAGGCCTTCACGTACGCCTAAATGCTATGATGACCGAAAAACGTATGAAGCTGAAATGTGGATGGGAGTCTAGCGGAATTCTGGCTAAAATGCAGGGAAATAAAACCACCTACCCGTCGCAACATCTCCTCACGCGTGGCCATCTCCTGCTCTACTCCAGAGTTGACGACACGTTCAGGGGCTCTAAAATTTGTAATGACATTTTTGCTGGACATGATGCTATTTTTAAAGGGGTTGGGACAGGCCAAAGTCTCTAAAAAATTTAATTCTTGCTCAAAAACGGAAAAATCATTCGCGTGTCTACGCTATTTTTGGTCGTATTCAAGGGCCAAATTAAAGCTTGTGATCTCTGAATAATTAAAATTCAATGATTTTAAACTATTAAAACGTATATTTTAAAGCTATTGTAAACTACCTCCTAACTGTCCTTCCACTGGTCTCTCGCATAGACACCGATCCGTACGCCGCCTCGTGGATTGCGGACCCGACTCTAAAATCATACATTAATACCCTATTCATATAGCTTTTTCTAAGGTTACACCGTAAACTTTATGCCCTCAAAATAAAGAATAAAAAAAAGACCAAAGTCCAAACTAACGTCGAAACTTACCGGGTTCCATGCTGCGGCACTTGGGGTGGTGGCGGCTTCTGGATCTGGGAGTACATTTGGGATATCCGCTCTCCGGTACCGTCAACTGGGGGCTAAACTTGAAAAATAGCTCGGAATCCTTCCTTTAGTATGGCAATAAGGGTACGAGTAGCTACCCGGTAAAAAAGTGCGATAAATTTCGAGCCTTGTCATGGGAGGAATGAGAGAGAAACTGATCCATCAATCAATTTCTCGGATTCCTGCTGATCGCCGGTGTCACTTTTTCGAGTTCTGAGACCGAGAGAAAGTCACTTGTTTGAAAAAGAGAGGGTGAGAGAGAGGGAGAGAGTGAGAGATAGTGAGAAAGACAGACTAAGATAGCAGGGAGATCGAGCGAGACAGCGACTGTCAGAAATTGGGAGAGAGTGTGGGGAGGAGTGCTTGGGAAAGAGTGAGAGAGAGTGAGAAAGTGAGAGAGAGCGAGAGAGCGAGAGAGTGAGAGAGCGATAGAGAGCCAGAGAGAGAGGGCGAGACGGAAAGAGGCTGTAAGAGATCACGCCAAGCCTCTAAAACGATTTACTAACCCGATCATCATTAGCCAGCGCTGCCCGATGTTCGTGATTTGCTAAAAATACATTTTACAATTTTAAATAACTTTTAAATACCGTAAGTGACGGTGCTGGATTGTGTCGTACTCGTTCGCTGCTGGCTCACCCCCTAAAAATTATGAAAGTTTTGGAGAGAGCGCAAAAAAAATACCTTCAGGTGGTGCTGCGACAGTCTGGAGTTGGAATCACGTTGAAAGGCGTCGTCAACGAGCACTATAATAATGGAATGTACGTTCTCTACTTTGTTAATTGCTGCAAAAACCTCAAAACTGAATGAAGATAGGTCAGTAATTTAGCACAAAGCTTTAAATACCTTCACGATCGTTTCCTCCAATAATTTCGACCGTGCCATGATGAGGACGAGGTGGAGCAACCGGAATATCATCGATGACAGTTTCCTAAAAAGCACTTTTTTATAGAATCCATTACAGTAGCTTAAAACGCATTAATGACAACTTAGTTCCGTCACTTTTCAGTATACCTACTCTTTAAAGCTCTTACCCGAACCGGCATGAGGCCTTGCCCAATCCTGGTGCCCTTGATTTCCGGCAGCGTACCGTACGCGTACACCCCGGTGTCGTTCTGAACAAGAAGATATTAATTTGGATAGAACCGTATAAATAAAGAGAGAGAGAGAGAGAGAGAGAGAGAGAGAGAGTGAGAAGTACGCTTACTTCAGTCGCCGTTTCCGAGCTACTTCCATTACTAATAACGTGCGGGACGTGAGTGCGTGATCTTTCATCGAAGACGTATCTGGAAAATATGCTTTAAAAGAGTCAGGGAGCGTCAAAATCGACCCTTCATTTTGACTAGGTCTCGACAGCTACGAGACACCAATTTACATCTAAGCTAATTTCGCAACATTCAAGGATTGACACTAAGCATGAAAACCGCTTGTTTTTTGCGTGATACGTAGCTGTCGGGACCTAGTAGACCTTTTATCCGTTTCTAATACCGCTTCTAATTGACCTGGACCCCAAACTCAGCGGCATTGTGTAAAGTGTAATGTTTTTTACTGTAATGGACTCATAATATAGCATCAATTATGAAGCAAAACTCCAACGCTAAAAAGCTTACCTCACAGTCCCATCATTCATTGGCGACAGCGTTCCACCGTTATTTGACGAATCATCAGAACGTTGTGGATCGGCGGAGAGGATTGTTCTAAACACGATCCTTCAACCTGGCCGCTTGTTATAAATCCTCTAATTTGACCCGAACCCACAATCTAGCAGCTCAGAAAAGTGACAGGTCACGGTACCGGTCATTTTTATCAAAAAACTGACTGCTCGCTGTAGCGTTGGTTAGGTAGCGTGCCGTAACCAATATTGGCGTATCGACTGGAGTATTCACTTGGTGGCTGCTCGTATTTACCGGGTAGGGGTGAATATCGATCCATCAGATGCAGTGCCGAGTCAACGTGCGTCTAAAAACTCGATTTTTTCGGATAACTTAGCTTACCCCAGCCCCAAATTCGAGTGTCGTCGTCTTGGTGACGGTGGATGAATAGCCGTGAGAGGTGGGTACGACCTAAAATGGGTTGAGTTTAGTAAGAGCTACAGAGAGAGAGGGGGGAGAAAGAGAGAGAGAGAGAGAGAGATAAAGCGAGTCAGAGAGTACCTTTTCCTCGATGACGGTACGTCCGTGGGGTAACTCTTCTACGCGTTTTGAGTACGTTGGCGGACCAGTGGGCGGAGCCTCGGGGAAGTGGAAATTGGCTAAAGGGGACGAGTTCATGGCTAAAAAGCTAGTCGATTTTTTGAAAGCGAGAGGAGAGAAATAGAGAGAGAGGGAGGGAGCGAATGAGAGAGAGAGAAAAAAAGAGAGTAAAGAAAGCGAGATAGTATGAGAGAGCAACAGGGATAGAAAGAAATCTATTGACAAAAAGTCGTTCGAAAATCACAAAAATTAGAAGTGGAGCCAAAATTTCAAGCCAAAAATTTGAATGCATCCATAAAAGCTTGGCAAGGCTTGGGGTAGGTGAGATAGTGGGAGAGAGCGAGAGAGAGAGAGAGTGAGAGTGAGAGTGAGAGATAGAGAGAGAGCGTGAGAAAGGTGGGGCTTATCAACCCAACAAGCCATACCGGGTCGATGAAGGGGCGAAGAGGTGGCCGTAGCCCGGCGTATTGCTTCTTCCTCAGCGGCTCTTCCCTCCCTGTCCCTATTTGTTGTGTTGATAACAGTCCCTCGGCTGCTTGACTCACTGCCCTCCGAGCTGAATAAACGGGGCTGTTTTTGGGGGGGAGGAGTCAGCTTTTGGGGAGGGGGGCTATTTCGGTGGATCAGGACCGAAAGATGCTGGAAAGTCGCAACAGGCCTTTAATTTTGCGTCATATAAAAATTGCTAATGCTATAGTATTGCTAAAAAGTTATCATATCCGAATACATTCAGCCTGATAAATCGAACGTTCGTATTTCTTCACGGCAAAGCAAAGACCGTAGGAAATCCGTAGCCAACGTAATCCAAAAAATCTGTGGTGGCGCCCTTAAATCCCCGAATTTGGCAAAGATTCAAAATGCGCCGCGTTCTGGCCGATTGTTACGGTATGACACATCTCTCCCCGGGCCGTTATTCACGCTTCCCACGGTCGTTTGCCCAAGGAACCTTGACGCGCCCTCGAGGTATTCCCCAGGGTTAGACGTTCTAGGCTTTTGTTGGATGCTGAAGGCATTTCCGAGCAAGTAAGGGAATTCTGAACTTTAACGTCTTTTAAATTAGCTAGTATAAGGAAAAATGTATGCTAGAATCAACCGTTTGACAGGACTGGTATCGACCCACGCCACATCGTCTATGTCTACGTAGCATAAATTCCTACCGTAAGTAGTGTGGTAGCTCCCCGCTCGAGTGGTGGCTGTGATGTAGAGCGGAACCGGATGTGGATCGATGAATTGAGGAATGGACCTGGAAGTCGACTTCATATGTAAGCTACGGATAAAAAATCAATCCGACAAGCTTTCTTTATACCAAAAATAACCTCCTCTCTCTGCTTCTCACGTAATAGCATATCCGTCAGGGAGGTAGTACCGTAGGCGAAGGGTGGTGGAGTTTTGGTAGGGCTGCAAAAATGAGTAATTGAGAGAGTAGAGTGAGAAAGAGAGACAGGTAGAGAGATAGAGGAGAGAGACACCCACAGAGAGAGACACCGAAAGAGGAAGAGAGAGATAGAGAGAGAGAGAGAGTGGGAGGGAGTGACAGAGACATAGCTACCCACCTCAAGCCAAACGCCTCCTTGGCTTCCTCCTTGGCCTTTTTGGGAGGCGTAGGTGGTGCGGAGCCCCAAGATTGAGGTGAATGCTGGCTCGGGGAGGCTTGTTCAGATGAAACTACAGAGCTATGGACAATCTCTCTCGATTCCATATCCACCGATCCGAAGACTTCCCGGGTGTAGGTAGTGGTTTTCGTGATTGTCGTGTCGGCATCTGAAACTAAATTTTATACCTTGGATGCTTTTTTCAATTACAAAAAGCAAATATTAGTGATTTACGACCAAAAATCCGCTCAATTTTCAGGCAAAATCCGTTAAAAACGGAAATTAATCTACCTTCCGATACAGACACGCTGACGCTCCTCGTCTCTGCCGCATCATCAGCGTACGGTAGGTAAGGTGCCTTAGCAGCTTGTGGAGGCGGAGGCGGAGGTGGTGGAGGAGGAACCGGACGTTCCGGTGTCAGAGTCGGAGGCGGGGGTGGTGGCGGGATTGGGGGTGGGGCCGGTAGACGTTCCTCTATTCTTGGGGGTGGTGACTGGTGGACCTGAAGTTTTGATTTAGGGTCGGTTATCGTGATATTTGTATTAAATTCTGTGTTAGCTTGGATAGAAAACGCAATAATCGACTCTTTCAGCCGGTTGGGTCTAGACCACTACGCGTGATACCTAATTACGCTAGCTGTTAGCAATTGCTCACCCTGTAAACCAGCAGAATCCGCGTGAATCCCTGTTTGTCTGCTTTGAAATTAGAAAATTTGGACATTTTAGGGGATTGTCATGTCTACAAATCGACCCCTTTCCGCGCCTAGATCTCGACAGCTACGCGTCATTTCTAAATCCGCAAGCTATTAAAATTTTGGAACTGTAAGTTGGAAAAATGTTTTTGCATTTATTGCATGCATTTAATTCAGTACATTTCGAATTCACGGGAGCCGTAAGGCCCGAAAATCAATTTATTCCCATGGCTAGATCCCGACAACTACGAGTTACACCTAGTTGCGCAGGTCTACCGTTTCTTTGTTGTAAATTTCGGCTTCTAGAAGCCATCAATATCACGGTTAAAGTTGCTTTTGGCTTGGAACGTCACTGTCTAGATCTAGGCAGCTGTAGGGGGTTGATTTTTTCGAATTTCGAGCCCCTTTATGCACGCTTTTAGGTATCTGTTCATAACGCTGTAAGATGTAGACCTATGCGTAGCATAACGTAGCGTTATAACCCCAATTTTAGACCCAAGCGTAGCGTAACGTAACGTTATGAACCCAATTTTTTTTACTACGTTTAGTCTGAATTCGCGCTTTAAGCACGTGGGACAATATGTTTAAACCCATACCTGAGGGATCGGTGGTGGCGGCGCAGGCCTTGTTGGTGCTGGAGGTAACGACTCGATGGTACTGTAGTAATGTGAAGAAGCCGTCTCCTCATTCTGCACCTTCTTCGTCGTGGTGGTCGTTGTGGTGACGCTGGACATTGTCACGTCGCTCAGATTGCGTCCTCCCTCAATCGGGGTAAAACGAGGCTCTTGGTGCGGCTGTCCGGAGATGGTCTTCGGTTCGAAGCGTTCAGTCTGCTCGAAGAGTGCAGCGAAATTCTTCTCGCTCATGCGCCAGTAGTTCTCGCGGAGGTATTCCTTCAGGGAATCTTCTGGAAAATGGGAGTTTGGATTAATCAAAAATGCGGAAAAAAGGCAGTTCAAGTCGAATTGAAAGTGTTCATAATCACTAAAAAGCAAGGGGGTTTCATGGTAGTTTTACTTCGTCGTGCTTTTCTTGAAACAATTTTCGCATAACCTGCTTAATTCTAGTGATCCTTCCTGGAAATATATGAAAAAGCGGATTTTATTAAATTGCAATGACTGAGTGACTGAGCATGGCATGAGTGAGAACGGGAGAGGGCAAGAGGAGAAAGCACGAGAAAGGGCGAGAGAGTGGGAGAGAGAGAGAGTGAGGGAGAGGGCGAACGAGAAAGAGCGAGAAAGAGCGAGAGAGAACGACAGGGAGAGCAAGAGAGAGAGAAAGCGCGAGAGCGAAAGAGAGCGTCCGAGAGCAAGAGAGAGCAAGAGAGAGCACGAGAGAGAGAGAAAGAAAAAAAAACAAAAATATAGATTTATGCAAGAATAGAGAATTTCGGCGGAGTTACTATATTCGCAGGCTTCAAGGTATCGTAGCGTAACTTAAAGGAATTTGTCTAAAATTTAGCGCGAAGACGTAATGCGGGAAAACCGGGCCGTAAATCGATGCGGGGTGGGAGGTGCCGATTCATGGCTTCAATTGAAGTGAGGGATGGGAAGGAGGGAGGCTCTCCCCCCTTATCAAAACGTACCGTGCTTCTTCTCAAACATGCATTCGCTGTTGAATTTGTACTCGGGGTGCCCATGGAGATTGAGACGACGCAGGATACCGATGTTGATCGGGGCTCCATCCGAGTCTCCCACGAGGAGCACGATGTTTTTTCGGAGGTGTAGCGGGATGTAGGTTAGGACCTGAAAATGATGGCATTTCGGGAGGAAATTTAGCTCTGCTAGTCTGCCGATAGACGGTATTAGCCCCCGTTAGGTAAGCTTTAATGAGTTTATCCAAAAATTTCTGCTAGCTTGACGGGACTAACTCTGCACAATTCACTCATTTTGTTTTTGTAAAGGATACCTGCTAGCTTGCCCAAAAAATGTAAGGTACCTTCAGGTATCGTTTGAGCTCAATTTCTAAAGGATCTTTGCTAGCCTACCACTTGAGCAACACCTTTTGATAATTTCTTTTCACCCACCGAGCAAGACCGCCAAAGATAATCGGGTCCTAAACAATGCCTGCTAGTTTGCCCGAATTTCCCAAAGAATTCCTGCTAGTTCCCCACCCACCCACCTTGTTCAACTCCTTTTCCTCTGCACTGGTCATTCGTGTCTGCGCCGAAAGGACCACCCCAACAACGTCAATGCGGTGTCGATCGTTGTGGGACAACCACGAGGTAAAAAGGTCGTGGATCTCTTTTTCGCACCTGGAAAGCGGAAACTTTTGATCTTTGACGATTTCGTATCGTAAATTGCATATCTCATCATGAGAAAACACTTACTCGTGATTGTGGCCCACACCTGGGGTGTCAATAACGATTGGTCGGAACGTCGTTTCGGCATTGTTAAAAACGTAGGTAGTGATGGAGCGTGGTGGGGTGGAGTTTCCGAATTTCTAGAAAGAACTTTGTAAGACTTTTTAGCAAACGTTTTTAGACTCAAATATACGAAATTGGCTTTTGAAAAATGGAAATTTTTAGAAGAAGAAAATTAACGTGGCTTTTGGCTTCCTAGTTCCTTAAAAAAGCAGGTAAAACGCGAAAATCGGCCCCAAAGGTCGAATAGATCACGACAGCTACGTTATGCTCCAAAGCACGCTTCGACGCTGTCGTTATGGCGATAAAAATTGGCTTAGACTCGTCTTTTGGACTAAAACATAGCTGTCGATACCTAACGGCCAACGGAGTCGATTTTTGGACTTTACGACCGTTTTAATAGTTTTAATCGTTGAACTTAGATAAAAACAAACCTCGTTAGCGATATGAAATCGCTCCTCCGATTCCAGCGTAGCACCATAGAAATAGTTGCACATAAAATCGATCAACTCGGACTTCTTGGTGTTGGAGGCACCGAGGAGCAGGAATACTCGGGATTCACGCTGTTTTCCATCTAAAAATTATATTTTACAGTACGAACTACACGATAAATACTTAATAGTATTATCTAATACGTAATGCAACAGTTTACCATGAGAATCGCCAGCGAAAACCGTGCGCACGTTCGGTAGCGTAGCCGTCAGGTCCTCGCCGGCGAATTTGTTGAGTATTTTTAGGCTTTCCTTACGTTCCACCATCGTTTTTTCAGGGTGCTATCATCTGAATCATACTTTAAAAGAAACAATCACGGTTTAAGAGGCATCGACAAATTATCGAAAACCTGAAAAAGCTATTAAATCGATTTTTTTTCAAAAATTAGAAAGTTACCACATAATCCGACAAAATCACACATCACACTCACACAAAAATAGCCTTTAAATCAATAAATACTGTTTTGAAAAATATCGATAAATGAAATTCGTTTAATTTAGGCGAAAATAAGCAAAAAATTGCTTAATCTATGTTTTTGCCAAAAACAACAAATTTGCAAGGGCTGAAAAGAAAAAATCGCGTTTTAAAAAGGTGGCAAAATTCCAAAAAAATAGCTTTCCATCGCCAATCGGCCATAACTCAACCAAAAAGCGACACGAGCCAGTGAAAAACTGAAAAATGGGGGCGCCACCCTTTCTCGATCGGGTGGTAAGTGATAGGTGGAGAAACGGGTGAAAGGAGGGGCGAGACAAAAGGACTTGATTTCAGCAGTTTTATCGCTACAGCAATGCGGACAGGACAACTAGTTACGAGCCGGTGGGTGATTTGATTTTCATTAAAAACTAGTATTTAGACTCTCAAAGGTCGTTCAAAATTCAGGAAAATAAATTTTTAATTTACGGGCTCATCAATTCCCAAATTTATAATTGGCATTACAACCGTAATATTACATCAAGATCATTAGTTTTCCTACATCAAGAATTTACTAATTTTACCGAAAGCAGTACATAGCTCAATTTTTTTTCAAAATGAAAACGTGTTAGAAGTTTAGACAAGGTTGCACAAAGATTAGTTATTGAAAAAGCTTCGAGACTTGAAAACAAAATTTGTCGAGACAGAGAGAGAGAGAGAGAGAGAGGGAGAGAGAGAGAGAGAGAGAGAGAGAGAGATAGGGAGAGATAGGGAGGGAGCGACACTGTGTGAGTGAGTTAGTGAGCGCGACATATTATCGCAAGCCGAAATCCGCGCATTATCAACAACGGAAACGTCTAAAAGGTTGCTAGGGGAATTGCCAAAAGAAAGGGGTAGGGGATACCAGAAAACATAAACAACCGAACCAAAAAAATCAGGGTAAATGAAACTCAACGTTCGCCGAGGCAGAAAGCAGAGCTAATCAGTGCAGATGAAAACGGCTTCTTGGGATTGTATTCCCCTACTTCATGAACAAAAAAAATCAATAAAAAGCGAAGCCCCTGACTCAGCGGTAAAAGAGTATACAGCCCCCCTGATAGTATAAGCACGACTTGCCGATCCACCCGCCGGGAAAGGCGGCAAATTTCGGGTGGTGATGCCGGTGGGCACGAATGTTGTGGGGGGAGGGGGGGGGGGGAATGTTTCATCGTATTGTTTGCCCCGATTCGCCGGGCCTTCAAGCCGTGGAGCCCGCCGTATCGGGACTATAGGGCAAGACAGAGACTCAAATTCTGGAAGACAGGGGAGGGAAGTGAGGCCGGAGAGTAGATAACAATCCATCCAGAAGCCTCAGATCAGCCACCCATAAAAAGTTAGAGTGGTGGGGGAGGGGGCTCGCACACTTCGGCAACGCTTTTCCGAAGCGATTTGGCAGCGGTTGAAGCTTTTAAAGGGGCCAGCAAGGCAGGGTTATGGATTTTACTGGAAGTGCTGTACTATATTACGCTACACTCGCACAGGTCTTTCTCGGTGGTAGTGGATTTTAACTCCCTGGTCGTGTTGAAATTCCAAAAAAAAACCCTATTTGCTGTGGGCTTCTTAGAATATTTTTCTTTTGGAACTTTTGGCGAAAATCGTCATAGCGTCACATCATAATAGTCGAGGTGGTTTTCAACGGTTTTTACTTTTCTTAAACGCGAAAACTTTACCAATTTTGGTTACAAAAATACAATAACGACTAGATTTTTCGACCAGAAACGGCCGATCCTTTTTCAAATTTCTTAAAGTTTTTCGATAGTTTTTCTAGTTGAAAAATAGTTATGTTTTACTAAAAACACTAATCAAATACCTGCTCTTAAGTTATTAGTCCTTTCTAGTTATAACCCAAAATCCAAAAAGATCCAAAAAAAAGTTCTCGATCCCCCCGATAATGCACCAGAATCCTACCTTATATAATTTGGTCGCGTATCTTTGTGTGTGTGTGTGTGCGGAGGTCAGTTTCGAGGCCAGATTTGAAGCCCTTCCCGTGTCCAAAATGCCCTAAGTCTCCGGCACCCGGGGGAATCGACCCTCCTCTTTTCGAAGGTGTTTTCAGAATTCAGTTAAAATACACGTTTACAAAGTTAAAGCCAGTTTTATTTATTTTTGGGGGTCCGGGAGGGCTAATTTGCATAATGTGAAAAATACAAATTTCCTCATTCTTGCAATTTGCACGCGCGTGTGTGTGGTCGGTGGCGGGAGGGGGGTCCGAAGGACACGAGCTATCGGAAAGTCAAATTTTTCCTGGAAAGGCACAATTCCAGCGCCCAAGGCCCGCGAAGCGGGTTTTGGGCGCTGGTCCATAAATAAATCTGAGATGATATCTGTGCAGTCGATCGAAGAGATTGCGAAGCGGAGTACAAAAGATTAAATTGGCTAAAAAAATCAGATTTTAGCAGCCCATACTTTATTTGAGGGCAGAAATTCATATAAACCGTCGTAAAATCGAAAAGTTAGTAGCTAATCGTTCAGAAACACCGGATAGGTTCGCAGAGCCGCTGTATTGAAAAGTCTACGCCTAACGTCCCCATCCAGGCCCGCTATATAATATGCAAGCGAGGCTCAGGTCAGCCGGGGGGCTCCTCGTCGTGTTTTTCCAAAGCCTTGTGCCAAGGTCGTCCGTCCGGCTGGTAGCAATGGGAAGGAGGTGAGCAGAATAAACGATTTGACCGCTTTCCTCGGCGTCAACTTGTGGCCAGTCCCCTCCGCCGCTTGGTTGCCCATTTCACGCGCCAAAATCTGGCAGCTAGCCCCGGCCGATCTGGGGTGTAGATATCGCGATCGGGTGAGGGGTAGAGTGTCTTGATGTTGTTTGCACGGTTTCACGGCCACCAATGCTGAGAAAAGTCGCGCAAAAAAAACCGTAGCTAAATCGTGTGCTAAATACTGTCCCAAAAACGAACCCCTCGGCATTGCGCGATATTACACGAAATTGGCCCCAAAATTGGACCAGAGTTGTATCGGAGCCTAAGTAATACCCCGACTTACGTCCCGACCGCTACAATTGCCATCGAGTTACAACGAAAATACGGCTTTTTCCTGAATTCTCAACCGTTTTTCGGCTGTCTTTTCGGACTTTGTGTCGTTTTTCATAGACTTCCGGCTGCAAACTCTTATTCCCCTGAAAATATCTGGTCATTTTACGTTGTGAAAGTCGTCTAACACAGCGTTTATTTGCTTAACATTTGTCATGCAACAATTCTAGGCGTAAGGAAGGCTTGTCGCGTAATTTTCATTTGATTTTCACAAGGTTATTTTCCACGGGAACCCACCGAAAAACCTAGAACAAAGTTTATTTTTGCTATAGTTCGGGAACTAGTGGGGCTACGTAGCTATAAGTCAGGATTGTTGTTATTTAGGGTATGATAATCCTATGGTCCAATTTTGGGGCCCATTTGATGTAAGGCGGCCAAATGCCGAGGGGTTCGTCCCCCCCCCCGTGCATGTGGGAAAACCCGCTACCAAATGTCAAAAAATCGCCTCTGGAAGCCTCCAAAAAGAAAGACGAATGTCAAAGTCCTGAAAAGCCAGAAGATCCATTTCAAAGGCAATAATCTATACAACATGGCAACTCCACAAACTGCCAGCCTCGAAAGGCCTTGGGCAAACCGCGAGCTCTGACCAAATACGGCGAGCCACGAGTGATGCATCCTCCGCTAACCCGATCGGCAATCAAACGAAGCGCGATTCGCGTTGGTTTGACACTCGATCTGCAAGATTTTCAAAGAATTCAAGCACAGCTTGTCAATTCCGCGGCATCAGAAAATCAAGGCCAGAAAAAATGGACTAAACCCAGCCGTTGCGTGCTTAAACTCCTTGATAACTCCTACTCAAAAAGCTGAAAATTTCATTGTCCGAGTCGTTCAAGTGGTTCAGGCCATAAAAGTCAGCTAGCAGACAAGAAACCGTTAAAAAGCTCGGCGAAGAACCACGAAGCCGTTGGCGCGTTTGCATCAGTTAGAGAACCAGGCTGAAAGGAGCCAGCGAAAAAGGGCAGACGAGAAAGCTAGAATGTTGTAGTGGCTGGTGAAGAAAAGGTGAATTTTAAAAGCTTCCTATAAAGTGAAGCTGAAGCGTGGTTGGGCCTGAAAAAACGCCCCTTAATCTTCGCATTTTAAGGCTTTGTCTTCCAAGGATTTGCCTTCTGTTTGAAGAACCTTTTACTTGCCATTTTATTTAGTTCTTTATTTAAACTAATTAGTAAAAACTTAATTTTTTAATTATCGAAGATTTTGACCATGCTAAAGCTTTGTTGAACTGCCGCGAGGCCTAGGTGTTGTTTGGCGTGCCTCGTAGCCTACCTTTCGCGAAATCCGCCTGGCCCCTATTCCTTTGCGAATTTCTCTTCTTTTTAACCAATTTAATTCAGAAATATAAATAATTTCTTTGCTTTCAGAGATGGGCAAACATGAGAAGGGCACGCCGAAGGAGATCGCCAACCGCTCCAAGATCAAGGGCATGCAGAAATTGAAATTGTAAGTTTTCGCCAAGGATCTCTTTTAGCCATTTTTAGTTACTGCGAAATGTGTCAAAAACAATGCCGGGACGCCAACGGCTTCAAGTGCCATCTGACCAGCGAGGCGCATCAGCGACAACTGCTGCTGTTTGCCGAAAACTCGGACCGGTACATCAGCGAGTTCAGCGGCGAATTTTTACGGGGATTCATGCAGGTGCGCTTTTGAAGCGGATGCTTTTTCATTGGCTGGAAAGGCGTAAAATTACATATATTATTTTTAGATTCTAAAAAGTCAATACGGGACCCGACGCGTGCGTGCCAATGAAGTCTACCAGTCCTACATCAAGGACCGAAATCACATTCACATGAACTCGACGATGTGGCATACATTGACCGGTCTCGTACAATGGCTAGGGAACAAGGAGAAGTGCAAAATCGACCTTGGGGATAAAGGTAAAACTCGGTTCTTTCGCATAATTGGGAAACGGACAAATTTTCTAGGCTACATTTTTTTAATACCAGCTGTTCTTTAAACAACCTGATCTTTTTGGGGCACCCTGTAAATAGCGGATATTTCTAAGCTTTTTTGTACCTCTCCTAAGCATAAAACTTCACAAATTTTGTATGAAAAATAAAAAATATAGATTTTTCGGTCGAAAATGGCCCTTTTTGTACGAAATTTCGACTTTTTGAAAGTTTTTAATAGTTTTTCTAGTTGAAATATAGTTTTCTGTTACTAAAACTATAAAATACGGCCTAATCGTACTGGGCATTAGACTGATACAAATTTTTTTGAGAAACATTTAAGACGTTTGAAATTTGGCCTAAAAATCTATCTTTTTACCTTGGGTTGGGTTAAAACTTGGTATATTTTTGCGTTTATCAATAGTAAAAACAATTTAGAAAGGATTTCGCTAAATATATAAGAAAAAAGGCAATCCTAAAAAAACTTTCGGGCTTCCTGTCCCGAAAAACTCATTTTCGCCGACAAAGTCTTCATTTTCAGGCTGGTACATCCAATACATCGACCACGAGTCGGAGAACCGGAAGCAAGACGAGGAAAAGAAAGTGAAACAAGAGCTGGACGATGAGCAGAAACAGCAGGACATCATCGAGGCCCAAATTAATCGGTTGGTGACTTTATAGAGTTGCCAATTTCCGTTTTCCAGCGCTCGCGAGGTCCATGGCGAGCAAGAGTACACGGAGAGCACCGAGTTGGTCCGCAACGAGGACGAGAAGATCGAGCTGGCCCTGAACTTGAATAAGAAGCCGACGTTGGAGGTAGATTTTCGGAATTGCCACGTTTTTTATAACCTTTTTGTTATTTTTTCAAGAGGAGACTGTATTTACAAAATTTATTCGCTATCTTTCGGAATCTCGCTACGTTTAGTATAATTGAATTTGTAACGTTTTCACTAGAAAAAAATACAAAGTTGAGTGACTTACAATTAGCTAGAAGTTCTGCTTGAAAATGGAAGAAAAAAGAAGAGTAAGAATTTGTTGCTTATACACTGCGAAAGACAGTAATTATAATGTTTAGTCGCTCACGGCTCAACTTTTCCTACGGTTAGTATAATCCAATTTTTTTATTTAGTCCCTGCAAAAGCCCTTCGTTCAACTCGGCGCCAACGCGCTGGAGCGAGCGCGCGTGAAAAAGGAGCAGCCCGAAGACCGATGGGGGCGGCGGAGGAGCCGCAGCAGAAGTCGCAGTCCACATGGTAGACTTTTTCATATTTTTCCAATTTAGTTAATTTTTAGGCCCTTCCACATCCCGGGGCAAGGAGCGAACCAAGAAATCGGCGTTGGACGAGATCAAGGAAATGGAGGTGAACATTTGGAATGATTTTGCAAGAAAACTTTCCAAGTGCTAAACTGATTCTTTCGCATTAACGGGGCGACCAACTTTTTCATAGGACCCAATTCCAATTCACTTGTAAATAGCGAAAGTGTTTTGTAAGCTTTTTTGACTATTCTTAGATCTACAAATTTTACAGCGCTAAAAAAGAAAAAGCCAAAAAGGGCCATTTTTGACCAAAATCTCGACTTTTTGAAAGTTTTTAGATAGTTTCTGATGAAAATGTAGTCATTTTACTGAAAGCGCTATGAAACTATTAAAGAGATGAGGACGGCATCTGTTGAACCCCCTTGGGGAGGGGGGGGTTCAACAGGTCCCAGCGCGACCGGCGGTCCGACCGGTTCTTTCCCGCGCGTAATCGATTGACTTATGCCGCCCCTATCTCTTTAAGTATGAAATTACGAGGCCCTTTTAAGCGTGTACAGAAAAAATTAAGTTTCCTCGATTAATAATTAATGAGATGACCAGGGTTGAAAAACCGCTTCGCGGCTTTTCAACCCTGGCCCCATCTTCTCGAATGATATTCTTGGCTTTGCATAATTTTCCCTGATTCGGATGACGAAAAATGAAAAATGCTCTTGCCGTCCCCTTATATAGGCTACCGCGACTTCCGGTGCATGCTAATTTGATCCTAACAAATTGGGGTGTCCGATTTTCCATGAAAAACTTAATTTTAATATCGAAAACATCATATTTTGTAAAATCTGATATGTGTGCAGTCATCTCCAGGCCACTACGCACCTAATGACGTATCGAACATACCCCTAAGTACTTCCCCTCTTGAGATACTACTTGAACACGATGACGGAAGTTGCATGCAAATGCACACACAGACACTATTTTTTTATATATAACCAGGGTTGAAAAGCCGCTTCGCGACTTTTCAACCCTGGCCCCGTCTGGTTCCATGATATTCTTCACTTTGCATAATTCTCGCGATTTTGGATGACAAAAAATGAGAAACGCTACCTCTCTTCCCTTATATAGGCTACCGTGACTTCCGGTATATGCTAATTGTCTCCTAACAAAGACGGTTCTCGATTGTTCAACAAAAACTTAATTTTAACGTCGAAAACCGTTAATTTTTGAAATTGTTATTAGTGTGCAGTCATCCCAAGGCCATTACGTACCTAATGAGGTGTAAAACATGCCCCTAACTACCCCCCCTTATTGAGATACTACTGGAACAACCTGACGGAAGTTGCATGCAAAGTGGCACACACACACACACAAACACTATTTTTTTATATATAAATAGGATTAAAAGAGCCGCTTTATTCGCTATGTTTCCCTTAGCGTATAACAGTAATTTTATACTTTAGCGTACACTAATAATGATGTTTCAATTTAATTTAATTTAATATTTCAGGAGCGCCGAAAGGAGAAAGCAAATCGCAAGGACTATTGGCTGTGCCCGGGGATTGTCGTCAAGGTATAGAATGCTCCTTATTTTTTTTGCATACCTCCCTTCTTAGATTGTGACGAAAAAATTGGGCGAAGGTTATTACAAGGCGAAGGGGACGGTGAGGGAACTCGTCGACGACTACACGGCCAAGGTGAAGGTGGATGATGGTGGGATTTTGGTGCCTTTTCCGCGACGTTTGTTTTAGTCGTTCTAAAGCTGGACCAGGCGCACGTGGAGACGGTGATTCCGCAAGTAGGCCGTGAGATGATGATCGTCAACGGCGCGTATCGAGGCTCGAAGGTGCGGCGATTTTTGTGGTTGTAATTTTGTGAAATGGTAGTTAGACGTTGTATTGCAGGGTAGTTCATCCAGGCCAGATTTTTGCCCTGATTCCGAATCTGTAGTCAGTTTTTGCCCTTCGCTTATGTTCACCGAGATACGAAGTCCGCATTTCCGTTCAGAACGGCGCCGGAATTCATGATTTTTGCGTCGTCTCTAAAACAAAACTGTTCCGTTGTCGGTCCTAACTGGCCGATTTCGCCCAACCTTTCAGCTTTTTAAAGGTTTTCGAAGTTTTAGGTAGTTTTTCGCTTTAAATATAGTGACATGTCACTAAAACACAATTAAACGTTTTGCTGCCGCTAAACTTGTAACAATTTTTATTGATTTTCTCGGTACTTTTTCGCTTGGAGTATATTGGCAAATGCGTGATATCACGCGCCTTACTAGACATAGAAATCTATTTAAAAATTGATTCGGTTCCCTGGTGATGCAAACGAACCGGGGCCCTTTAAGTTTATAGCGGAACGACAAATATTTCCTTTTCAGGCCACCCTACTCGAAATTGACCAAGAAGCCTTCGCCGTCCACCTCAAGCTGTCCAGCGGCCTTTGCAAAGGACGCGAGATCACGGTGCCCTATGAAGATGCCTCAAAACTCGCCGCCTAATTCCCCTCACTATTGTCTGTCACTTACTTGCGGGTCATTTTCGCTGTTTTACCTTTTCGAGATACTAGTATGAAATAAAAGTTTCATTTCGTTACAATCTGCTGTAGGTTGTAGGCAAAATTTATGCGAAGATTCCAAACCCTTTAACGCATTCACAACAAATCTTTTGCCGGGGGAAATTTAGTTGGAGTTTAACGGGTGTTGGGCATGGCTCGGGCTCACCGTATATTTGCCCGCCGGTGTCTGTCTGTCTTTCCGTTCGACTCTCTGTCTCTGATGCCCCTCGGTTTATGTTTCCGAAACGTAGGATACTGTAGAAATGCGTCACGGTTTCGTCAATTTATTCACGCATCGTACATGAGGAAGTTGTGCTCCACGTAAGGTTCAAATGAATTCAAATGAGGTCCGAATGACGTCCGGATCAGGAAATGGTTCATCAGCAGCATGGCTAAAAATGATTGCATTTGGCAATTTAGTTTTTGACTCGACGCACAAAATGTAATCCAATAAATTCGAATGTTTTAAAGGGTTTGTATCAGGTTGGACCGAAAGTCTTTACAATAAGTCTTCAGATGAGAAAATAACAATTTTTTTAAACCGACTTTTGCTGGCGGTCTTGCAGCGGTAGATCTTTCCAGTCACTGGGCGACCCTGAAAATTATATTCTGAGCCCTTTGGCATCAACGGGGGGGCAAACTCTTTTTCTAAGGATCCAATTTTTTTGAAATATAAATAGAGTCGGTGGTTCTAAAAAGTTTTTATCTTTTGTAAACGGAAAAATTTTGGAAATTTTGAATAAAAATGCTAGAATATCGATTTTTGACCGAAAATGATCGGTTTTCGACCAAAATTTCAGCTAAAAACTTTTTAAAGGTTTTCTTAATTGTTTTGGGCTCAAAATATAAGTAGGTTCTATTAAAAACATTATTAAAACGCTTACAACTAGGTCGCTAGGCATTTCTGGACGTAGAGGAAAAGAATTATCGATCGATCTCGATCATCCCCTCCCCCCAAACGAACCGGCCAGCGTCTCCGAAAGAATAGCTTCGTCTTCCTCGCATCTGGCGAGGTATCGGGTATCGATTCGATATCGCTGCACGCATGGCGTAACATTTCCTCCAACTAAAAATCTCAGAAATTTTTGGGCTTTGAACAACATAATCCAAAAAACCACGTGCAAAGTATCGTCAATTTTTCAAAATTTCCGAATTTCCAAAAAATTTGAGTGAGCGGCTGATGAGCTATAGAGAAAAAAATCTGAACACCATGGCAAAGCTAGTTTTTTTGCAAAATCTAGCCGGAAGGCCAAAATATCTAAGTTTGAAAATCCAAAATTTGAGCAAAAAATCTCTTTAGGACTCAAACAACTCTTTAAAGAGGGGGAGTTGCGCCATAACTAATATTTAAGCCTCATTTTTATTTTCAATTTTCTCTTCCGATGTTAGCGGGGGTACCGGGGTTTTATGGTATGAGTATTCTACCAGAGTTGAAAAGCCGCTTCGCGACTTTTCAATCCTGGCCCCGTTCTGGACCAATGAAAATTTACACTTTTCATAATTCCACCCGACTCACGCATTAAAGCGCCGCAGGCAAAAAATTTTTGAGAAAAAATCACAAGGGTCTCCCCCGCCCCACAGCCGAAGCGTCTCAAGGTTTCGGTATTTTCGATATTTTGATCAGGATTTTTGCAACGCCATTCGATGGAGCGTTGAAAAATATACCAAGAGTTTTAATTTGAGCCTACAATAATTGTAAAATAAGCCCCGCAGGCAATTGTTTTCAAATAAAATTGTTACGCTCCCGAAAAACCAGCGCCGCAGGGGAAAATTTTTGAAATTCCATTCCTAATCAAGTACTTTAATAATACTTAATCATTTTTTTCACCCCTGGCCCCGTCTTACCCCCATAGTTCGTCACTTTGCATAAACCTCTGAATTCCTGTGCAGAAAAATGAAAAGCGCGTCCTCTCCCCCATTATATAGGCTTCCCCCCCCTTCCGGTGCATGCAAATTGATTCCTAACAAAGAGCCCGAGCCAGATTTTCACAAAAACTTAATTTTAAGATCGAAAACAGCTGATTTTTAAAAATCTCATATGCGTGCAGTCGTGTCATGACCATTACGCACCTAATGGCGTATCATACGTACCCTTAAGCTTCCTCCCCTACTGAGATACGACTGGAACATACGGACGGAAGTTGCATGCAAATGCACACACACACACACACACAGACACTATTTTTTCTATATAGAGTAGGATCGTAGGATCGCTTGCCAACCTTTGTCCCAACTGCTTTATCGGGATCCGGGCCGTTAATGCAGTCCATCCGGAATTGACTGATCATCCAATAATGCCGTCCGGCCGTCTGTCCCTGATCGATGACTGCCTAAAATCGTATTTTACGGGCAATAGCCGTTTCAAGGTTCAACGTTTTCAAAACTCTTGAAACTATTAACCAACCCGAATGATCCCCGGCAATGATTGATAGTATAGCCCGTTAAGCTGGACCTCTCGTGTGTGCGCAGAGCTACGTCCGGGACCTGCCAGCATTTCTTCCAGTAATGCTAGTTTCTCGGCCATAATATCGCTCTTGGAGAATCCCTAAATATTTTTTTGGAGCTTAGCTTGACGGACCGTGTCACTCCGTCCGACACCGTTCCACAAGCAAACGTACGGGCAAAAAAATTGGAAGGGGTTTATGTAGGCAAAGGAGACATGCCTTTTTCAATATTGTCGTTATTTTCGCGGGATCTTTGCAACGGCATTCGATAGAGGATCGAAAAATATCCTCAGAGTTTTTGTTTTAGCTCAAAGCATTTGTAATATAAAAAAGCTATGGTAAAAATAAAAATAAACTTTCAAAATCGGGTTGCGCTGCTGTTTTTCGACATTCTCGCTGTTTTCGACACTTAAAGACGCCATTCTATAGAGCATCCAAAATATACTGGGAGGGGTGATAGTTCATTACCGATAAACCCGCAGAATAACAAAAAAAAAAGAAGAAGCGTTCCAAGGAAATGGCGAAAGTTCCGAACGCCCTAAAAACCGAAATTCAATCCGATTTTGGAAATTAAAAGACGTAGAATGTTCTTCTTGACGTGCTCGATCGAATGCCGTGTTTGAAATTTTCAAAAACACCCGCCTAATTGGCTCACTTTAACCTATCAGGAAAAATTTGCCCGACTCTTTCGACGCCGCTGGCGGCCCAGGCGTGTTTGTGGCCCTTGCTAACGCTGGGTCTTTGGTATCATTCGAACCGTAAACTTCTGTTTTGGCAATGATTGATATCGAGTTTTCAACATTAAGTCGGTTCCAGAAAGTTATAAGAACTTCAACTTTTTCGCTCGCGATACCGCCAGTTCCTATGGACACTTTCTCCTCTAAATTGCGCCTGTTTGAGGTAAAAGAATCGCCATTTCCCAAAACAACCAAGACAACGTACCGCTGTTAGCCCATCCTCTTCGAAGAACAGATGGGCCTGAAAAATTTCCTGGTAGTTGGGTTATTTTATCAGGGTTGAAAACAGCAATTGCTTCAAATGCGTTTATGGAATGGCGTCCTCAAAACATAAAAGATAGCGAAAATATGGAAAACTGGATTTTCAACCCATTTTTCAAAGGTTATTTTTGCTTCGGCTACGATTCAGTTTGCTCCCCCCCGCGCCCAGCTCTTCAGCCATAAGTCCTATTAATGCACCGAGTATCTGAAAATGTTTGCCGTGGTCGAAAACCTATAAAAAAGTTGTTTACTTACGTGAAACATTGCTAGCAAAAATTTTTACAGGCATTTAAAAGTTGCAAAGATTAAGCGGCGATCGTACAGTTACCCCGTGTTTCTAACTCAAATATTCTGTTTTTCGTTGTTTTTCGACTCAAACGTATCGTGGGCCGATTCTACAGATCAAGCACGACATTTTGGTACCCTTGCCAAAACTATACGTCCAAGAATGGCCGAGATCCGAGACCTATAATTGTTATAAAAATTTTCTAACAATTTTTGATGTAAGAAAACAATTTTTTTGCTTAGTTTTCGATCACGGGGAACGTTTTGAGATGCTCCACGCCTTAATGGCGTATGGCTGAAAAATTGGGCTGGGGGAATAAACCGAAGTACAACCTTTGTTTTTCTAAATACAACGTTGGTATAGGACACTTTTTTGAGCTGTTCTGTAATAGCATCGCTCGGCGTTTAAACAATCATGAAAATAGCGAATCGTTGAAAATTATGAGACTGCGAGGATAGGGGTGAGGAAACCCGTTTTTCCGAAGCTTTAAACAAGGAATAGTCTGCCATTCCCGAAAATCGCCCTGAACTTGCCTTGTTGAGCAACATTGTCTCTGCTATCAGATGGAGGTTTGCCCTTAGCTTTTGAAAAGTCTGTGCGCAATCCAGCAGCAACGTAATGCTGTTTGCTGCGGCGACGCCTTGAGCAAGAGATTCGATCTGAAAACCAAGCGTTTGCCTAAAAACATCAAATTTATTGTAAAAAAACTAGAAATAGAGAGGCTGCATTCATAAATCGTTAAATAGGTAATTGCTAATATTGCTTAAAAATCGCTTAAAGGGCACGTTCAGGAACGTTTTTTTTGGAAAAAAGCAAAGATTTTTGCCGCAGCCGGGGGTCGAACCCGGGCCCCCGCTCGGGAGGCGCGGATGGATACCAGTCACCCACAGGTACAACCTGGCGAGGGGGTGAGGGGTGCCCCTCGCCGCAAAGGAGGGGAATGGCCTCCCACGGCACGGGCCGGCCGTGCGCGCGGTCCCTACGTCCATAGCGTGTACACGTTGGGACGAGTACACGGCCCGTCCCTGAACATGCGCTTTAAAGTTAGCATATCGTAAAGAATTGTTTTTCAGCAACTTACGTGAGTGATTTCAAGGCGTTCTGCGGTGATAGCGTGCCGTGGGAGTGCCATCCGTTCGGCGAAATACTTAATGGTTAGGTATAAGAGTCTTAGAATTGGCTTCCAGCGCCTTCTGCGCAGCATCAAAATCCAGTGTCCCAAAAACCCCTCGGCATTTGTACGTCTTCGATCCCATCGGAACCAAATTTTTACCAGCGATAGGGACTCATAAAAACTATACGTGCAGCCGAATTTTCGAAGCAAAATATTGTAAAACAAGAAAGTTATAGAATTTCGACTTTAATTTTGACCTCTAAGTGTTTAGCAAAAACGAAGAGGGCACTGATTTCACACGCGGACAAACTTTTTGATTTACGAAAATTGCGTCTAAAGTTGGTCTTTCATAATTTGTTCTTATGAACATTGGCTGATACCGACATAAAAATGGTGGTTTTTGGCAGGTTACTCCAAATCTGCGTGCGAATTGCGAAAACATAGCCAAAATAGGACCAACTGTCCGGAAAAATCCGTTTTTTAGTGATAACTTTTTTGTTTTACAATATTGGCGCAGAAAATTCGGCTGTACGTAGTTTTTATGGGATCCCAACGCTGGTAAAAATTTGGATAGAACCGGAGAGAATACGACCAAATGCCGAGGGGTTTTTTGGGACACCCTGTAGATAGCTACCGTTTCATACTTCAGCGGAAACCGAAATCTGACGATGCGAGGGTGCCGAATTTTGGCGAGGAAGGGGAAGAACCGCGTCAGACTAACGGTTGGGCGCGGCAATTCTAGGCGACACCTAAATTACCTGCATTGTCGACTACCGATCATTCCTTCTAAAATCATTACTTCTAAGAATCCTTACTTCTAAAAGTACTTCTAATACTGAGCTTTCACATTATCAGGGGCGGGGGACCAACTTTTTAGATACCAACGTTTTAAATCAATAGATCAAGCCTTTCTAAACTGTTTTTTACGATTCCGTGAAAACTTTACAACTACTAGAAAAATATCGATTTTTTTTGCCCAGAAAATTTCGACCAAAATTTCAGTTAAGATTTTAGATATTTTTTTCACTTGTAATATAGCAAAATGCTACTAAAGACGCTATCAAAACTATTAAATATAGCAAAATTTTAGAATTAATGATTTTTAGGTAAAGATTTTTAGAAGTAATGACTTCTAGAAGTAATGATCGTCGGGGTGACAAGGGTTGTTTTTGAGCTAGTCAGGTAACACTACGTTATGCAAAAAAAAAAACCTTGTTTGGGCTTCTGTCCATTTTCTCACGTTCACTTCAGCGATCGACAGCTCCCTAAAAGCGACGATAAACACTAGGGAATTTCTGACTTTTCTGTAATAACCATCAATGGATGATAATTGGCGAACTGAACGGCTGTGCCAAAGTTGTCTTGTATCCGAATCGACAATTCGGCCACGATCATCTGGAATTCTCAAGTTTAAATGCGTTTTATTATGTTTTGGTATTTTGTCGAAATATAAAATACAGCCCTTCGCCAAATGCAACACAATCACAAGGGAAATTTGCTTTGTAATAAACTAATAAAAACGGCTCACCTCAGAATTACCTCCGGGTCGATTTTCGGCAGCGTTCACCATTTTTCCGCAAATGTAAAAATCGGCAACGCGTCGGGGAAACAGACCCCCCTGCATTAGCCGATTACTGAACGATTTTTTTACGAATTAACCGGTAAAATTCGCGGAAAGCGTCAAAAAATTTTTCTCAAATATGCATTCAGGAGGGAAAAACTCAAAACAAGCGAAGTTTATGCGGGATACTGCAGTTTACATTTTGACATTTTTCAGCGATTTTAAGTGTCCTACAGCGAAAAACCCTGTTTTTGGTCAAAATCCGGCCATTTTACACCCAATTTTCGAGAATTTAGTCGATCCGAAAAATACAAGCCCCCCTCAATTATAACCCCTCCCCCCCTCTAAAAAAACCCCCGCCCCTGGGGTGGTGGACAAAATCTAACCCCGGGGCTATATTAGAGGAAATACGGTATATTGTCTTTAGCATACGCTATACTTACCGAAGTTTTCGAGTTGTCCGCCAAAGACGCATCAACTCAAGGATGCCGGCTTTTTCAATGACGGCGTTGATCAGATGTGTCGGAAGCTGGAAAAGCGGAACCGCCCGCGAGCGACTGAGGCGCTCTCCGCGGCGCCGATAGCACTTTCGTGCTGTAGACGCGGGACGCCGCATTGACCCTGCCACTTTTTCGTCCAAGCCTAAATTTTTTTTATAATCAGCGGATGTGTTTCTACATTGTTCTTAACAATTCTTAAGCCTAAGACTTTAAAAATTAAAAAAAAAAATTAATTTTAGGTCGGGAGATTGATTTTTTCGAGCCAAAATGACCAAATTTTCGACTTTTCAAACAGCTTCTAACTTAAAAAAAGTTTTTTTTTACTTTAAATATAGTTAAAACTTGCTAAAAACAATGTAAAAATACTTCGTTTTTTTGTGAATTGTTTGCATCATCGAGGATGCTAACTTCGACTACCAACCCTTTAACATTTTTGAGCAGCAGGGCAACGCTACTGATTACGCTATTCACGCTGCGCAAAGAATTTTATTGCCATATGAAGTCCGGATTTCAGGGGGTCTGTGGAAATTTCGAAGAAAAATTATGGGCCAAGAGAAGTTGGGACGATTGCCATTCGGTGACACTATCAAAGAAGGGGGGGGGGCCGGGTCACCACTTTTGAACCCATACCCTTTCGCGCGATCCAATTTATTTAACAACAATCTAACAATTAGCAATTTAGTGTTTTTGCTCATTTTTCGTTGGTAGAAATTAAAAAATTAATCTTGGAAAACTGTTCGCAAGTTTTTATATCTAAAAAATAAAGAAAAGAGGGCGAGAAAGAGAGAGAGAGATAGAGCAAGAGACATATGTGAAAGTTTCACTAAATTCTTTTTTTTTTGAGAGAATTCTTTCACTAAATCAAGCTTTCAAAAAATGTCGCAGTTCATACCTCCATCCTTCGAAAAATGCCCTGTTCATATCACGAGAGAAATACATATCAATTTATCCTCAACAACGCAAAATGTAGGAAAACAACTGAAAACCGAGATCACAACCCGTAATCGAAAAGCTAAAAACAAACTTCGGAAAAATGTATAGCAAAAATAATTCTATTGTTTCGATTTCTTGACCGGGGGCTGTGAGGAGAGCGCCGTCATCCAGGCCGGGACAGCGGGCGCGGAAGTCTAAAAAATAATATGAAATTAACCGGGCAAAACCTTTACCTCCCCAGAAGCTACTCCTGACGTCGGTGGCTCTTCACCGTCATTCTGCGTGCCAAACTCGAATTCGAGAATTCGAAGCAGCATCTGAAAAATGGAACTAATAGGATCTACCGGCAAATGATACCTTCAGAACGTTGTAGTCCATCGTGCCCTCGGGCAGCTTTTCAAACAACGGCTTCATCCGGAAGATATCTATAAAAAAATAATATATAAGGAAAACAGGAATGCGGTAAGCCTCGAGCCGTAAGATCCTTAAGGTTTTTGCCATAATTTTTTCACATGACATTATTTTGGGCTGTAATTACAAAGCATTATGTGTTTATTGATGCGCTATCGATTCGCGTAGCCCAAATTTCGATAAAATAGCGGAAATGTCGAAAAATTTTGGGAAATTCCGGCTGGTGGGGGGGTAAAGCAAAGTCTAGCCAGGAAGAATACCTCTTCCATTGTCGTCAATTGCAGCAAGAAGGGCTGTCCGTCTCTCTTCGGTGAGCCCAAGCGGCTTTTGGTGGACGGGTAGGCCTTCACGTAGCGCCTCGGACAGGTAGGTGGCTACCGTACCCTCGCTCAGCCCGCGCGTATGGGCCAGATCTTTCTGAAAAGGACGGATAACGGCAATGAATCTGCGCTTGCCGATTTGAATGTCGTCATTTTGATTAAAAAGAACAAACACAACGCCAAGAAGAAACCATGATTTCTACGGACGAAAAACTGAACGGAAAAAGATAGGGATTTTCAAATCGCGAAATTTACACATCTCAAATTCCGTTTTTTTTCCAAAAAAAAAACATTCATTTAGATTTTCAAAATTCAAGGAGTCATGAAATAAATGCTACGTTTGTGTCCGAATTTCAAGACGAAAAACAAAAACCCACCATGGTTGCGCCGGAATGGAGGTGCATCGTGTAGACGGCGGCTTGCGACGGCTTGAGCACATCAGAAACGGCCGCTTGTTGAGATGGCGTTAGCTAAACGCAAGATTTCCAAGAATTTTCTAATTTTTATCGCAGAAAATGAGTCAGTATATTTGAAGACGCTTCACACACGAAAAACTCACCAAATTCAGGCCGCTACCCTTGGCATTCATGTCGAGACCGTAGGAGACGCACACGTCCTTGATGACGTCGATGAAGCCGAGCCCGAAGCGCGTCTTCTTCGCGTCAGGCCAATCGGTGACCGGGTCCAGGGCGGCGATGCTAAAAATTACTTTCGCTAAAAAAAGTTTATATTTCCCACCTGTTCGGCCGAATCTCCGTCAACTGGTCCAGCACGTTGTTACTGCAAATCTAAAAAAGGTTGATTTTATAAAAAAACGAGTCCAAACCTGGAAAGGCGGCAAATTGCACTGACCGCCGAGCTCGACGCGTTTCGTCTCCAACGCGGCGCGAAGCTTCTTCATCTAGAAGAGCAGGAAGAGGATATAGGAAAAACGGGACCTTACCAGTTCCATTTTTCCGGCTTCGACAGCCGAGTCTGTGTCCACTTCTTGGGCAAATTCGTAGACGCGAAGGCGTGTAGAGCCGAGGATTCTGAAATGTGAAAATTTAACCCCACAAAATACAAACTTTTTCTCATCCGATGAAGCCATATTTGTCGGCCTGGCCGCTTGAGTAGCGCCTCGCTTCATACCTCCCGAAAGTGCAGCTCCGCGAACGCCGGCCAGCAGCACCTCGGTGGCGGGCACTTTGAGCGACTAAAAACCGTTAAATCTCGCTCATATTGTAAAATCTACCTTATTGCCCGCTTGATACCAATTCCGGCCGTGCGGCGTCCCCACCAAAAACGACATGGGCATATGGGCGCCGTGGCGCGTCTCGGTTTGCGTGTAGTTCATCAGACGAAGCTGGGTGCTGAGGGCTGAAAAACGGAAGGACTTCTAAAAATTAAAAATTATCTACCTTTCCACCACTCGTCGTTTTTCGGCTTTCCGGCGCCGAAGAGCGCCCTGTGCGGGCCGGCGGATAGGTGGCTCTGGGCTGACTAAAATAAAAAATTAAAATTACATGAACTTTTCACCTTTCCCCGAATAAAGTCGATAATCCCGGTGTTGCCCTTTTGGCCTCTGAAGACGTCGAGAAGCACCTAAAACAACTCCAGATGAGCGCAACGACAAAATTATGAAGCAGAACAGGCTCCAAAACTGACCTGCAAAAACAATCTGGCCTCCGCGCCAACTTCCACCTCGATCGCCGCCCCCGTCTCCCGCTTCCGGATGTAGGCGTCGCAATTGTCGCAACAGCCCGGCCGATAGTTGTCGGCGAAGTCGAAGCGCGGATCGTAGTGGCGGAGCACCATTCTAAACTCGAAATTTTGGCCTCCAGAATCTGGCGCACCTTCTCCTGCACTCGCTCGTGTTCAGAAGATCCTTCATCTTCTCCACGAGGTCCTCGCAGTGCTGGGCGAACGTCGGGTTTTGCGTCTTTTGCGCCTGGATGAAGCTGAATCGGGTTTTCAGAAAATCAGTAATATTTTACCGATATTTCGCAAAATCGCCGTCTCGATAGAAGGTGATGCACTTTGCTGGTTGACCGTCACGGCCAGCGCGTCCGATTTCTTGATAGTAGGAGTCCATGTTTTTCGGGGCTAAATTGAAGATTTTCGTAGCAGGTTCTTTCGCATTATCGGGGGACCCAATTTTGAAATCCGAGAAATGCCTAATAATGTAATAGCACGTAACTGATTACTGTTTTGAGCAAAAGGTAGCTAGCGGAACAACAATAAAAAAGTAATCTTTTCTAATCGACATTTTGGTCAAAATCTGCCGTTTGTCCAAAAATGGTTATTTTTGGTATTTCAAATCAACATTTGTAAAGTTTTTACGTTTATAATAAGCATTCAACTATAAACACTATCTAAAACCAGCGGAATTTTTGGCAAAAATCTCCATTTTTGTATTTTTAACGAAAATTTGCAAAGATTTTAGGTCTACAATAATAGAAGGATTTAGAAACACTTTCCAGGTCTATATTAGAACAAATGGATCCTTAGAAAAACAGTTGGTCCCCCGATATTGCAAAAGAGCGCAGTAAAAAGGGCGCTCGGTGATACCTCCGTAATGGATGACGGTGCGCACGTCTGGCTTATCGATACCCATTCCGAATGCGATTGTCGCCACCACGGTAGATACCTCAAAAACGCAAAATAATCGGCAAGCGGAAAACAAACCTTATCATGAATAAATGCCTGATGCGCCTTCTTCCGATTCGCGTCGCTCATCCCGGCGTGGTAGCTGTCGCAACTAACGCCTTTGCCTAAAAACGAACAATTTAGGAGCGTCAATGTCATCACCTCGCAGATACGCATACATCTCGTCGACCTCCTTCTTCGTCGGACAATAAATGATCGTCGGGCCACCGAAATTGGGGCCAATCCGCTCGCTGTCCTGCAACAGCTCGCCCATGTCGATTGCCAGCGTGCTGCGCGGCTTCACGATCAGGTAGAGGTTTTTGCTGAAAAAATTCTAGTCGAAGATGGAAGGTCCAAAATACCGATCAAATCCGGTCTTTGTCGTGATGGCATTCGTGATACGCAGATTTTTCTGAATGTCCTCGCACACTTCCGGCGTCGCCGTGCCCGTCACCGCCATCACCGGAACGCCGGGGAATTCTTGGCGAAGCTGAAAAGCACAAACGATAAGAATTCCGGAAGTCACCTACGACGTAAAGCTTCTTATAATCACTCCGGAAATCGTGGCCCCATTGAGAAATACAGTGCGCCTCGTCGATGGCGATTTGACCGACGCCTGAAAGCAAAAAGTAAAGTACGATAAAACCCAATCCTTACGTTTCTTGATCCGCGAAAAAGTGCTGGTAGCGACTTGACAGTATTCTGGGGTCAAGTAGAGGAACCTAAAACCTATCAGGTTGATATTCAGCCAAAAATCACCTCAGCGAGCCGCTTGTAGCCTTTTCCAGGATTTCATCGCGTTCCGCGGGTGTAGTTTGGCTGTTTAGCGTGGCGGCCTCGATGTTGTTAGACCTAAACAAGCTGGTATCAAGCAAAATGCGATAATCTGCTCACCGTAGATTCGAAATTTGGTCCTCCATCAACGAAATGAGCGGCGAGACGACGATGGTCAGATCCTCCTTGATTAGCCCCCTCAATTGGAAGCAGACCGACTTGCCGTAGCCTAAAAGAGACAAAGTTACAAGAAATTCTTTACTTTTGGACTTCCAAAAGCCAAAGAATCATCAAAAACTTACCAGTACTCATCACGACAATCTGATCCTTGCCCTGCAGCGAATTCCGCACGATGTCCCATTGAAATGGGCGGAATTGACGGTGGCCGAAATGCTTGTGCAGCGCCTTCAATGCCTTGTCGAGTAGTGGATCATTCTAAAGAAAATAATTTCGTTTTCTACTTTCTCATACCATCGGCTTCTCGTTTGCCGTAGCTTCTTTAGGGTTTATTGTAGCCGGTGAAACGTTTGCAGCACCCTTTGGAGGCGGCGTTTCTAAAAAAAACAATAAATGCCACGCCTAATCTAACAAACCAGGCAATGGCGCGCTTCCGCTCGGCTCATCGTCGAACGAATCATATTCGTCCGGGTTCAATGCTGCTAAAAATAAATAAGGTTAGGCAGTTTTCGATACCCTCTTCTTTCCGCGGCAGGTCCAAAGGCTCGTCATCGAAAGAATCGTAATCTGGCGCGTCCGTTTTCACTAAAAAAGTTTTCAAAGACAGATTTTCGTACCTGTTCCCTGATTGATCAATGGCACGGCTTCTTTGTCGAAGGGATTGGGGTCTTTGACGGGCGTTTTCGCTAAAAACAAACTTTAGCACCGAGATTTGATTACCTTGGCCTGCTTTCACCGCTGGAGCCGGGTCATCATCGTCGAATGAGTCGTAGCCGGCGGCCATCTATGGAAAAGCTATATAATTTTAGTGTTTTACAGTTGAAAATAGGAAGAAAAGGTGGTTTACGCGAGGGAAAAGTTCAAAAGGGCGGGAGCCTATTTCCAGCTGGCCGAGAGGCGCGTTCCCAGAGCAAAGAGAAAAAGAGCAGCCACGGAAAGCCTGAAAATAACGAAAACAAGGCGCTAACGTTTTTCAAATCGTTCAGACGAAAAGTAATAAAATCAAACTTTGAAAACTCGGAGGCTGAAGTGTCTACAGCGACTTCAAAATCGATTGAAAAAGTATGCGAGCTCGTAATGAGTAGCTTTACGTTACAAAGCAAGTCTTTTACGAGGTAAACGATAGCTTAGCGATAGCTTGAAAACAAACTGGTCGTTTTCAACATTATTTGATCTGCGGACCTTGTAAGCCCGTAATTAGTAGCGCTGCGTTACAAACTTTCGAGCTAAATCGATGGACGTTTGTTTGAAAAAAAGCAAAATGTGTTTTTTTTTGTACAATATTTTGCCTGCCGATTGAGTCAGCATAGCAGCAATGGAAGCGGATCGCGAATGTATAAGCGATCGCAAGGCTCCGATTTTCACTTTTCGCAGCCGTTGCCGCTTGAAACTTCTCGAATCCCTATTATGTCACGGCTAGTTCTTTTATTTCTCGCTTATATCTTGGTCGCAGCGGCTTTTCCGGAGTATGAGGTAGGTCACAACCTTGATAGATACGCTTGACAACCTAGATAGATCTAGATACGCTTCAAGTTTTCTGGAAAAGCTAAAAATATGAAGTTAAAACTTGCAGGGCTTGAACACGACTTGTACAAAGTCTCACGATTGTCAAGTCATCAACACGGCCGCCGTCGGGATATGTAAAGATGGGAAGTGTGACTACGAATTGACCAGAGGATTCATCTACTTTCCTTTCCAGGAAGTGAAGAAAAATGGTACTGAATAAAGTTTATGCGAAGTTAGGGTCGCATACCCTCTTTCAGCGCCTGCGATTTTCTATTCCCTGTTGCAACATTTTTCTTTAAATTTACGTTTGGCCTTGACTTGGCGCGTTTTGTTACGTTTGGCTCTGGTTCTCCACGTTTAGAACTTTAATTCACTTCTTTGCAAGCGTTTTTACGCAGCACAAGCTCATGAATGATTTTTTGATGAAAATTTCTCCAAAATCGCCGCGGAAATGCAAAATTGCTGGTATATTTGATGCAAGTCCAAGAAAGCACAAATAAATCGCAAATATTTTGGGTTTTCAGGTTTTTGGGCTATATTTTTCAATGGCTTTTTTTTGAAAAGTTACATTCTATTTCCCTCTTCTCGACACAGACCCCCTTTCCGAAAATATGGTCGAGGGCGATGCCGTGGAATTGGAAATCATCCTCGGGCGCTAATGGCCCCGTTTCCGGTGGCCATTCCGGGCACCTGCCCCAAGACGAGGATTATCGACTTGGGCCATTAAACATCTTAAATTCGGATTTGATCTCTTAAAATATAGACTGTTAAGTTACCGTCTTTTAAGATGAAACCGCAGCAATCAAAGATGCGCAAGCTGACGAGCGGAATTTTGGTGGGTTTCCAGGCAGCAAAAACGCTAAGCTTTTGATAATACTGTAGGCCCTTTAAGACCATTATAACAGTGTAAAAATTAACTTTACAATGATTTAATAAGGGTGCAAAAACATTGCTGAAAAGCGAGAAGATAAAACGAGAAGCAGCGGCATAAAGAACGAACTTTCAAAAAAAATTATTTTATTTGAACTGATTGGCCCGTTTTTAGGGATACTAGAAGCTTCTTAAAAGCTATTTAAACTGTCTGAAAACGATGTTATAATAACTTAATAAGGGCGCCAAAAAGTGGCTAATCCACGAGAAGCAGCGGCACGACCACGAAGCTGATGACCTAAACACACGTCGGGTCTTCGACATCTCGATCGATGAGGCGATTCCGCCGCCAAAGCCGAATATTTTAAGGTAAGACCGTGCTAAAATAGTTACGTAATTCGTGCTATCAGACGTGTCGTCTTCTGGTCGTACGACGACACGAGTCCATTTTACTACTATTGGTCGCTGCTGATTTTCGTGGGGTGTTTTTACAATTTGTTGACGATTGCAGTGATGACGTTTGAGGTTATGGTGGGTGCAAAAGCGTAGTTTATACGATTTAAAGCTATAAATAAGGTAAAATAAAGCCATTTTGGCCAAGAATAGTTTAAAAAACACTGCTAAACGTTTTAAAACTTTTTTTACAAGTTTTGATCTTATCGGTGGAAAAGCGCAATTTTATAAATTAAGTTAAAATATATGTATACACTCTTTGTCCTAATTCCACTGTTTTCTACCTTATTTGCCAGGCGGCGAGCCATTTCGAAAACTGGACATACGGCAATATCGTTTTTGACGCCCTCTTCCTCATCGATCTCTTGTTGTTGACCCGAAAACGTGGGTTTTGAGTTATAATAAATTACGTTAGAGCTCTTAAAACATAGAGCTAGGTTTACTGTAATTTTCCCGTGTTTTAGAATACATCCAAGACGGTATCAGAGAACACGGGGTCTGGAAATTGCTCGTCCATCGAGTCTCCGGCCGCCAATTTTACCTGGATATCGCCGCATTACTCCCAACGGATATTTTTCTATTACATTCCAAGATGTTGAGCATTGTTAGAGTTAATAGATTGTTAAAGGTATCATCTATATCATTTGAAATCTCCTTTTAGGTGTATCGCGTCATGGAATTCTATACATTAACGGAAATTCGGACGACGATGCCGAATTTATTTCGACTTTTCAAGCTCGTATTCTTGTGTTTTGTTATATTCCACTGGAATGCGAGCCTGTACTTCTTCTTGAGCACGATTTTTGGGATTGATAGTTAGTAAAAATTCGTAAAATAAGTTTATTTATTCTTTAGAAGCCGACATCGATGCTTGGATCTTTTCGTATGACAAGGTGCCAGATCCAATATTTGTAGACTGTCAGAGGTATCGTTTTCCACGTTTTTAGGGTATTCAAGGCCCGTTAATTGAAAAATAGTACGTTTTATACCCCTTTTCAGAAACGACACTTGCCACTTCACGGAGAGACCGTTGAGCGACTACGAGGATCGCCGTAATTTCACGAAGGAATGCGGGAAGTACAGGGACCACTGGGCAGAGAGGTATGGATTGAAAGGCTAGGAAGTGCAAATTTGACCCCTCCGGTTTCTAGGTCTTGACAGATACGGGTCGGTTCAAATTTACGTAGTAAAAGGAACGTCATAGTCCCTAAAAACGTTACGCTACGCTACGTTACGGTAATCGAGCACGCTGCGTGATTTGGCGCCTGGCGTAGCTGTCGAGACCTAGTCATAAACGGAGTAGCTTTTCGCAATTTTGCAGATTGAAAAAGTAGAGATATTGTAGAACATACCGCCACGCCTTTTCCAACTTCTCCAAACAGTACTCGTTGAGCTTCTACTGGTCGGCGTTGACGCTCGTTACGCTTGGGGAGCAGGTAATTTTCCATACATATTTTACCGAATTTCTGGCGGTTAAATACCCAGTTGGTTTAGCCCTCACCCCAGCGCTCCTTCCAAAACATTTTCGAGATTATCGTCACGCTACTTGGGCTTGTAATTTTCGCCGTAATTGTTGGTGATGTCGGCAACATGGTGCAGGTACGACGGAAGCTTCACTTTTATAGCATTGCCGTACTTAATTTAATGATACGATACTTTAGACGATGAACCTAAAGCGCACGGATTACGAGGAGATTTTCGACGGGACGCGCGCGTACATGTTGCGACAGTAAGTGGCGTTTATATGAGTGTCTTGTAGCTCGATTGAGCTCTTCACAAACTACATGTAAAAGCTGTATAGATATTAACTACCATATTAATATGTTATGGTTAACAACGCAAGTTTTTTCAGTCAAGTCCCCCAACAACTCCAACAGAAAATCATCCGCTACTTGACGTACATCTGGGGTCAGGGGCAGATTGGAGTAGATGAAAAGGTACTGTTCATCGTTTCATTTTGTCACCTATTTTATGGCTGGAGACTTACTTACTATTAACTGATTTCGATAGGCAATCTCTGACTTCCTGCCCAATCGTCTTTACGGCCACATGGCTGTTCATATACATATGGAGACCTTGAGGTGAGTGAGAGTAAGTGAGCGAGAGAGAGAGAGAGAGAGAGAGAGAGAGGGAGAGAGAGAGAAATCGAAAGACTTCTTAATTCCAGACGCGTTCCCCTCTTTGCCGACTGTGATCCAACACTCCTTTACGAGTTTATATTACGACTCGAGTTGCAGGTAGCCAAGCGCAAGAATACTGTAACTAGATCATTTTCTAGGTCTACAGTCCCGGGGATTACATTTGTCGAAAGGGCGAGGTCGGAAAGGCATGGAAAACTTGAAAAAATGTCACCACGATGTTGTTTCAGGAAATGTACATCGTCAAGTCGGGATTCGTTGAGGTAGTAAATGAAGACGGGACCAAGGTATGGCAATTTCAAGCTAGCCTTCTAAAGCGGAAACTGGCGCTAAAGTGAAATCTTGCAAGGTTAGGTCTTCGTCCGTCTCGGCGAGGGCGTCGTTTTCGGGGAGCTGTCGATTCTGAACATTCCTGGTAATCGGAATGGGGATCGGCGGACGGCAAATGTTCGATCGGCCGGTTACACGAATTTATACGCTCTAAGGAAGGAGGATTTGTGGGAGGCACTACGCGACTATCCACAGGCTACGCAGTCGTTGTTTGAGAAGGGTGCGATATGGTATCTCAGACTCTCTCTCGCACTCTCTCTCTCCCTCTTTCTCTCTTTCAATATCTCTCGCTTTCTCTTTCTATCTCACTTTCTCTCGCTCTCGCTACATTTCCCTCTTCCAGGTCGCCAAATCCTGGCCAAAGACAACCTGCTCGAAGAAACGACCGAGGAGCACGACAATTGGGACCCGGACGCACCAATAGAAGAAAAATTTGAGACGATTCGCCGCGACATGGAGGAGTTCACCAAACAGCTTGATGAAGCGGAAGTGATGCTCAGGGTTAGAGGCATATCATTTTCAAACTTTTCCGATCCTCAGGCCTCAATGGACCGTGAGAAGCAGCTCGTCACCAAGCTCGAGGAGAGTTTTGTCGAGTTTTTCGAGCTGGTCAACCGTGACGACGAGCACGAGGAGGACAGTGATTCCGATGGATGACGCCATGCAAGTAGTATCGAAATGTACACAACATAGCAGCCAATAAAACTCTTTATTATGCATCCAAAAAAGCATACGATACAACACAAAAAAATACAATCACCGGTTTGCGATTAAATTCGAGGGTCGGGGGGAGGGGAGTAGGGTCCTGGTATGAGTTTTGTGTGCAAATGGGAAAACACGAACGAGAGGTTGGTGCCTTCTCTCGGCGGAAATTAATGCTTTCTAAAGGGCCATGGAAGCGAGGGGTACGGTAGGTCAAGGAAATTCCGATCGGCTCCTATTTGCTGGCGCACACCTTGTCGAGGGCCTTGCACACTTCGGCAAAGATCGAGTCGACGGAGCCCTCGGCTGGGATCTGGAAATATTGAAAATGTAGGGCTTTTTCAGGGGATTAAAAGGACAGGGAAAGCAGAAAAAGGTAGCTGGTTTGTTAGCGGGGTAATGAACCCGGTAACAAACAAGATCCAAAAAATTCATTCATTGCGAAATCTTCAAGGCGTTCAAGCGACTCGAGCGTTGCGCTGCGTTGCGGCAAAGTTCATAGACAATCCATAGCCGCAAAGTCCATAGCTATGCCTTGTCACTCCGTTTAAAGTTCAACCCCAACAAAACTACCGACCCGAACAAGTTTGCCCTTCTTCTCGTAGTGGTCGACGACGGGGGCCGTCGACGTGATGAAGGTGTGCAGGCGCTTCTTGATCGTCGCCTCGTTGTCGTCGGCACGGCCACTAAAATGGAGCATGAGAGAGCCAGAGATAAAGAGCGAGAGATGGAGAGAGACATAGAGCGAGAGAGAGAGAGGGAGAGAGAGCGAGAAACAGCAAGCAAGCTCTTCTACCTGGTCTGGGCGCGGTGGAGCAGCCGCTTCACAAGCGTCTCTTCGCAGACGTCGAAGAAGATGACCAGCTGGGCTTGTTGAATCTAGGAACAGATTTTTTGAAGTTGCAATTTCCACCGTACCTCGCCCTCAAACTGGTCGCCCTGGGCCACCTCGCGGGGGTAGCCGTCGATGAGGAATCCCTTGGAGCCGGCGGCCACCTTCTTGAGCATCGCCTCCTTCACCAGGTCGAGCACGACCTCCTGTAGATGGTCAAGATCAATAGTAGCCAGTAGAAGAAATTTACCAGGGGGACCAGCTTGCCGGCCTCCATGATGGCGGTCAGCTCGGCGCCACGGGACGAGCCGGACTTCACCTCATCTCTGAAGAAGGCTGCGTTAAAGGGATTGTGACAGATAGTCCAAAATTTTAGAATTTACAGTTAAAGGAAAAGTGACATCTACCAAAAGCTCATCAAGATTCTCACCTCAACAAGTCCCCAGACGACAGATGCGAGAGTCCGTACTTGGCGACAATCTTGTCGCATTGGGTGCCCTTGCCCGAGCCGGGGCCTCCTGCAAAAAATCGTGATAAAACGGATCTAAAGGGGCGTTAAAGGCATGTTTGTAATTTGTTGACTGTCGCCTCTTCGATTTGCTTCGTCTTTCCAAGCGACTCTTTTGTGAAGCAGCGTAACGACGCAGTTAAATTGTGGCAAGGCGCGTAACACACCCGCGACGCCTTCAAGGAGTACGAAGGACTTCGGGTTCGAGTTCAAGGAATTCGAAAAACGCGGCTTTGGCTGGACACGGAAAGATTTAGGTGGCGCCCGCGAGACGCGACGCTTACGCACCCGCCTTCATATGACAAGGTAGCGCATTGCGACTCTTTTCGGGAGACCAGTCCACGCGTTGCGTGCTGCGGTGTTGCGCCGCGGTCAAGTCGCAATCCACAACCAAGCATAAGTCATCAAGATGATTTTTGTCGTTCATAAAAAGAACCGTGACACCAAACTTCCAGCATCGAAAATTCAAGCGAAATCCCGTACCGACGATGAAGATGATCGGCACCTTGGCGTTCTTCAGCGGCGCCAAGTCGATCTGCTTCCGTTGTACAGCGACTGCCGGGGCCATTGTTGAGCTGAAAAAAATTCTGTATTCAAATTTGGAAGAGGCTGGCAACTTCGAAGGGGCAGCAAAGTCGAGGAGAAGGCAAAGGTTGTGGAAGGTGAGGAGGGAAATGGGTGGAGCGAGCACTGAATTAAGCAGAATCTTTCCGGAAAATGCAAATTAATGCAATAAAATTAAGCATATGCAAATTAGGCATTTTAAAGTTGCAAAGTTTTGTATTCTGCTCATCAGCGTTTTTAAAATGTCCCTACTTTAAAAAACGTTTAAATGTATCTAAAACATATTATTTATGGTGATTTCAAAATTTAATTTGCGTTGATTAACTTTGTATGAATTGAGCGTATGAAAAAATTAGCGGCAGAAATTTAAAATAAAGTGCTGCGAGTCGGGAAATAGGTTGAAAACGCGTAAAAACAGCCTTGAAACGTTTAAATGATTTTTAGAGTTGTTTTGCGGTATTTTCCAGACATAAAAGTACGGCCTAAGCCTTTTTGCATACAGAAAATGTACCAAAAAATCAGAGCACAGAGCGGCGTCTAGCAAAAGAACCCGCCCAACTACGTGATCATTTCCAAAAGAGGCCGCCTAGGCAGCAAAACTTGTAAACAAAAGCAGAGAACAGAGTGGGGGGGGGGGTCGAGATGGAGAGTGATAAGTTTATTTACTCAAAAAGGCGGATACGATGCGACACTACGCGATGGAAAACCTTTGAAAGATAAAAATTTATTGAATCAGGAACTTAGAACTTTTAGAACAGAAATTCGGGATTCTTAACTGTTATTTCGAAGCCAATCGGAAATTATTAGTGGCCAAAAAATAAATTTCTCTCAAAATCCGCCGTAAAAGGTGAAAATCGAACGGAATGTCGATCTTTAAGAATAGGAAATTGATATAATACAAATTCATTTTCGCCACAAAGTTCAGCGCCCTTCTCGCAGACCAGAAGCAAAAATGCCTTTGGTGTCATTTGGGTAGAGTTTCTAATACTAACAAAAATTTTGGCTTTAAATCTTGGAAAAACATGTTCTAAAACCAACACCATGTGCCGGAACATAAAATATAGCTTTATATGATTGCTATAACGTTTTAGAGGCCAACTACTCGTTGGAAATGGACACACAAACACACCGAGGTGCATTACAACTCGCTCTGGGGCCGAAGGGCCAGCCGGATCCCACCCCAGCTCATGCTTTTTTTGCCTCACACCGGTTCGTCACTTTCTCTCGCTCTCTCTCTCGCGCTCTCTCTTTCTCTCTCGCTCTCTCTCCCTCTCTCTCTCGTTTGGGTTGAGTTCCGGGGGCCGGGGATGAGCCGGTGGACTGCAGAGAAAAATACACACAACACAACAAATGACGCCCAGGAGAGTGAGGTGCGCAGAGAATAAACTTTTCTGGGTTTTGGCGGGGTGTGGGATTTGCGTCAATAAGAACACTCTCGGGCTTGAGTGACCGGCGATGGCATTTGGAGCGGCGTGGAGTGAGGGTAAAAACTGGGCAGAAATGGTTCGTGACTCGTGTTTTGGAGCAAAAATGAAAAATTCTCATGACAATTACTTTTAAGGCCCGAAGTTGGCAGTAAAGGGATTAAAAAACGCTACAGTCAACCCCTCGCCCCTAGGTCTGGACAGTTACGTCTAGCCCCTAATGACGCAATACTTTCAGGGATTTTGCCGCGTCCAAACACATTTCAAGACCATTCACGCGTATTTTGGCGTGTAGCGCAGTTGGTGTTAGCTTATGGACGGAATTAGTGTTACACTAACTTTAAAAGTTCTTTAAAACGACAAAGTTGTATTTCCAAAGCACGAAGAAAGGTCCAGGGATATCCAATTTCGAAAAATATGTCCTGCGGCCTAGACCGGAAATCCGGATTAAGCGCGAAACTCTTTTTGAATTTGAAATGCGTGAATCTAGGGCCGAATCCAGAAAAAGAAGCGAGAGATCGAAAACTACAAAATCGCAAGTGATTTTTTGTCATGGGGCCAATCGGGCTCGGCCAATTTGTGCAGCCGGCGCTCGAAGCGCACAAAACAATGGGTATTGGCGTGGAGATTTACACGCGGCTGCCAGGCAATTTCGTCAGCGCAAAAATTGCATCAGATTGTTGGGGCGCGGGGTGAGTGCGAAATTTAGTGTCAGGTCTAAGCGAAATAGCTTGCATCAATCTCCTAAAAATATATATTTTCTATCTATTTTTAATCTTTTAGCAGGGCTTCCTAAGTCTAAGCTGAAGCCATACCCGAGCACAAGCCAAGTCGAAGCCAAGCCTAGTAAGCTAAGCCTGGGCTAAGCCATAGATAAGCTTAAGCTAAGCCGAAGCATGCTCCAAGCAAAGTTCTAAGCCTAAGACAATAACTAAACCTAGCCTAAGGCCAAGCCCAAGTCGAAGCCTAAAAGCTAAGCTTAAGCTAAACCTAAGCTAAGCTTAAGCTAAGCCTAAGGCAAGCAAAGCCATGCAAGGCCTAAAGCATAAACTGATAAAACGTTACAAAAACCAATAAAAACTCGGCCCCGGCTACGGTTACTTACCCCCCAGCCGGAAGTTTTTGGCCATAACTTTTTTATTTTACACCAGGGTTGAAAAGCCGCTTCGCGACTTTTCAACCCTGGCCCCGTCATCTCCTACTACTTCATCACTTTGCATAAACACCTGAATTCCGTCAGAAATGAAAGCGCGTCCTCTCCCCATTATATAAGCTCTCCCCACTTCCGGTGCATGCAAATTGATTTCTAACAAAGAGGCCGAGCGAGATTTTCACAACAACCTAATTTTAATATCGAAAACTGCTGATTTTTAAAAATCTCATATGTGTGCAGTCGTGTCATGACCATTACGCACCTAATAACGTATCATACGTACCCTTAACTTCCTCCCCTATTGAGATACGGCTGGAACATACGGACGGAAGTTGCATGCAAATGCACACACACACACGCACAGACACTATTTTTTTATATATAGTAGGATAGGATTATTGTAGGCTCAAATTAAAACTCTTAGTATATTTTTCGACGCTCTATCGAATGGCGTTGCAAAAACCCCGACAA